CATGGCTGTGCAACTAGCATTGCCAGATTCGCAACAGGGAGGGGATGGAGCTTGTCCAGACACACGAAGAACGGGGTGAGGAAAAGGAAGTAACTTTAAGTTTGTTACGTTTGTTACAAGTTTTTTCACTATGTAAAATCTAGTGTCTTTAAATTTTTTACTAACTTTTCCACACTGAAATTCACGACTCACGTTTGTTTAGCATGACGTTTTTCTTGATTATATTATGTATTTGTAGTAAGTATGAGAAAAATATTGGAAGTTTTGGCAAAAAGGTAAGTAAATATTAAATTGAGTTTTCCAATTAAATATAGTGAAAAGGGTTATGTTTGTTTACACACAAAAGGAAAATATTTATTATTTATTTATGATGTCAAAACATTCATATTCTTAAAAGATTGTTTTTTCTCCGTCAACTTTCCATTTTGTTTGTGTGTTTAGAAAACAGGTTTAACAGAAAATATAAAGTTTGTGAATAGAATTGTTTGTTTGTATGCAACATTAATAACCGCGCCATTATTCCATGGCTAGAAATTAGCCTCAATGATTTGGAATCGAGGGGATTATCCCTCTTTATAACATTAATAACCACATTAAAATTGCTAATAAATACTGTTTTATAAATTTTGCAGTTTTTTTTATGTTTATTTAAACGAGTAAAATACGATTTTACCATTATAAATCGTATTATCGTATATATATTTTAATATTAAAAGGAAGTAGTATTAGGGTCGTATGACACTATGCTAAAATTATAACTAATTTCAGTAATTAACTAAGAACTTTTTAATCTTGCATAGTATCATACAGAAACTGCAACATTTTTGTTGCAATTTGTGGATGATACTATGCCTCTGCACTCAGTGCAAAAGTTCATGTAAATCGAAATTGTCATGATTAGTATTAGTGTTCAGTTATTCAATAGTTCTTTGCTATCCTTTTTTTTATCTGTGTTCAGTGCCCACTGCCCAGAATTCAGATTAGATAAGTACTGTTCAGTTCAGTGTTAAAAAATTGTAAATAGTTTTATTCCGAGTTTTATTATTTTTTAATATAATATAGTTTGCATTGATTTTTCTTAAAACTAATCATTTTGTGTACACATTTCTGGAAAAAGGAGAAATGAGTGCCGATGTTTTAAAAAAATGTAAGTTTATAGAAAACAAACGCCGGTAAGGTGTTAAACTTAGGTTAAGTATAGCAAAGAAATTCTGTGTTTTGGTAGCTTTTGTATTTCGAAGTAAAAATAATTCTCGTCATTGCTGAGTTTCTATTCCTGAAAATACTTCTGCTACTAAAAACTCCTAAGGATCTATCACATAGAAATTTGGAGGATAGATGAGAGAATTGTTTACCTTAATTTTTTAATTGTATACCCTTCATATGAGCAGTCACATGCAGATGGATAACTGTTTTTCTAGTCCGTTAAATAAATTAGAATTCAGTACGACACTTATATTCCAAGATTTAAATAAGAGACCAGTGTAAGAAACCTCATATTTTAAGAGAATACCTTCTATTATCCAGAACACTTTTAAAGCATTAGTTGCCCCCATATTTGCAATAATAGAAAGACTTCCACTCGAATAAATTATTAAATGAAATGTTTTATTTTATATTTACAAAATGGAGCATTTTGAATCTCTGTCGTAATCAAATGAAAATCAGAACGTCTGTGCAACCCTACTGTATACTAAAGATTGAACTGTTAAACAAAGTTACAATTTTTTGCTCTACAGTATATAGTGTGTACAAGTTTAACGTTTGCTTCATTTCTTTATATAAAAAAATATCTTACTAACATATTTGTTCAATGTAATTGAATTACTTATTCAGTTATTATTTATTGTACATGTACTAATTTATATAATATTTATTATTATTTTACTTTATATTTTTAGCTTCACCGAAAACAAAAGAAAAAGATATCGAAAATGGAGCAGAACCTTCTGCACCAATAACAAAAAAGGGTATTCTAACTTCATTCAAGACTGGAAAGCAAATGGCTATTCCAGATACTGATATTGTAAGTGAAAAATTTTGAGGCTATCAATATTTTAATTAAAACTTATGTTTCAGTTTGGTAGATGCCGATTTGTAACGGAATTTGAAAAATTAAATAGAATAGGTGAAGGAACATATGGCATCGTTTGTAAGTGTCTCTACTTAATTCTCAACTACTAATTAAGTATATGCTCATAGGGTTTGACTGATTTGAGCATTTGTTAAATATATCTGATATGTCCATGTAAATTGTGGGGATCCAAAATTTATGATTCTTCATATTCATGAATTATAAATGCTACAAATCGAAGAAGTACAAAAATTGTGGCTAGAAGTACATTTTGTATGTTTCGAGTGAAACATCAGAATGGGTCACTTACTTTGACAAAAGTTTTTTACTTTTGTAATAATCTATGATAAATATCTATTATTATTTAAGCTTACCCTTTATGGTAACAAATAAAATATTACATAGTATATTTTGCAAAAAAAGATAATGCCATTATTTTTTGAGTGAATAAATTATTCATAAGCCGCATTAGTGCAGGTTCAGGAATAAAAAACGTATTTTATCTTGACTAGGGATTTTGAAATTAAGTTAATTGATAAGAAGCTTCATGCAAATTTAGTTAGTTTAGAGTTTTAATGAAGGAAATCACATTAAATCTCACATTTTCATTTACTTCTCTTAATATGAAAACAGCACTTTCTAATCTCATTACTTCACTATATTTGAGCATTTGAATAGAATCTTCTATGGCCTTTATTTTATTTCTAATTTTTCTCCACAATAGATCTTTAAAAGGGGGGGGGAGGGATTGATTGCTGATATAGTAAGAAGGTAAAAAGTATATTGATGTTGGATGGTACATTTAAAGGTATTTTTGAAGAGCTTCTTGAATAAGAATAGCTGATGTACTAACTAATAATTTATATTGGGATGTTGAATAAATTCTTGCTGTTTTTTTGTAAAAATTTTTATTTTTTAAAAACAATTAGTAAAAAACATGTTACTGAAAGTATTGTTCATGGCTAGCCACTACTTTTTCCTATTTTTCTGGCAGTATTTTAATTTCATGTTGAAATATTGACACGTCTTTTGAGGCTATCCAAGAGTCAACCCATTTTGTGGCATCTTCATAAGAATGGAAGTGCTGCTCTGTCAGGCCATGTGCTCTCTATCGGAACAAGAGATAATCAGAAGGGGCAATGTCTGGTGAATATGGTGGAAGGAGTAAGGGGACTTTCCATTTAAGCATTTCCAAGGTTTTCATCAGTATCGCAACATGTGGCCGAGTGTTGTCATGCTGCAAAATCACTTTGTCGTTTCTCTGCTCGTATAATAATTGTTTTTCCTTCAATGTTTGGCTCAAACGTATTAATTGTAGTTGATAGTGATCTCCCATGATGGCTTCGTTTGGTTTGAGCAGTATAGCAAACTACACCTTGCTGATCCCACCAAATGCAGAGCAGAAGCTTGGAACCATGGATATTCGGCATACTCCATGATTTCCTACGTTTATGTATATCTATTTTTGACGTTTCTCGCCTTCAACTGGTACGCCATCCAATGTCCTTGCTTTTCAATCATTCCTAATGATTTCAAACATTACGAAACTGTTGATCCTATTGTGACTCCTAATGATTCTGCAAGATCAGCTAATGTCTGATATGAGTCTTCATGAAATAATACCTCCAATTCTTCAACTTCAAACAATGAGCCAGAGCGTTCTTTATCTTCAACATCAAAATCATTATTTTTGAAGCGACTAATCAATATCTGCATTTCTGTGTGCTTCAGCTGCAGTTTTTTTTTCAATGTGTTACTACACAATCTCCCCATATGTTTTTTTTCGTCGCAGAATTTGATATGAAAAAATAAAGTTTACGCTTTCTCGAAATTATACACTGAGTTTCAACTTTGCTTATACGCTTCTTCATAGGCGCGTTACCATCTTAAACTACACGCTTGCCGTTCTGGTAACGCCATATGTTAGAAAGCAGCTAGAACTTATTCAACGTCCATATATTTATTTAAATATCTTCCGCTTCCCAATGTGGATTATTACTGAAATAGGTTCTTTATTTAATGGTTAAATGTTAATTGTGTTGTATTTTTCTCTTAAATATAATGTATTATTCATTTAGATCGTGCTAAAGATACAGCATCTGACAAAATAGTTGCTCTTAAAAAAGTACGAATGGATCTGGAAAGAGATGGTATACCTGTTAGCAGTTTAAGAGAAATTCAAGTTTTACTAAATTGTAAACATGAAAATATCGTTCATCTTAAAGAGGTTGTTGTTGGACGCAGCTTGGAAAGGTTAGTTTTATTTACATTTTATTAAGAATTTTATTAGTCATAATTATTTAACAAAAAATGTCATATTTAATGATTTTTTACAGCATTTTCTTAGCTATGGAGTATTGTGAACAGGACTTGGCATCGTTACTAGATAATATGCAGGCGCCTTTTACAGAGTCTCAAGTGAAATGTATAATGTTACAAGTTTTAAGAGGTTTGAGATATTTACATCATAATTTTGTTGTACACAGGGATCTTAAAGTTTCTAATTTACTAATGACGGATAAAGGATGCGTAAAGATTGGTAAGTATTATAATACAGAGTAAACTCTTGAGGTGTATGTATGAGTTAATAAAGGTACAATATATTAATAATCGAATATTGATCATTGATCGAATATGATCATTGTTTGCATCTAGCTTGAAAGTAATAATTTTCGTAGAAATATCTGTGAATTCAGTATAAATCAGTAGAATTTATTTCAATCAGATTTGATTATTGAAAAATCAATAAAGACTGCTACATTCCTGTATGATGATATGCAGTGCTACTGCTACTGCTACTAAAAATCAATAAAGACTGCTACATTCCTGTATGATGATATGCAGGTTGCATATCATTTACATATTGTGTGACATGGCACATAATGCGTTTGTTCGACATACCAAATTTTATTAGCACTTGCTTGTTGCTTTGTGCTAACCTGAAATTGAACGAACAATGACTAAATTATCGTTACTTGTCACATTACAGTTTTGGTTAGCGCTTGATTAAAATTGTCAGTGAATTGCCAAATTTAGCTCTTCTTGCGACAATTAGTCTTAGTTTATCGATGTTTCTTTATATCATTGTTGTTTTACTTTTATAGCAGATTTTGGTTTAGCCAGATGGTTTGGTGTCCCACTTAAACCGATGACGCCCCATGTTGTGACATTGTGGTACAGAGCACCTGAACTGTTATTGCAAGCTCCAACACAAACGACCAGTGTTGATATGTGGGCAGCGGGTTGTATTTTAGGTGAACTTTTAGGACATAAACCTTTATTGCCGGGACGATCTGAAATTCAACAGCTCGAATTAATCGTTGATTTACTCGGTGAGTACAAATTATAATAAAATGGATATATATTATTTTACAGATTTTTTTTCCTCTTTCCTGGAAATTTTATTGTGAGTGTAGTTATATTTGATATCCAGTTATTACTATTTATAGTTATTTACTATTTTTTCCATTTTCTTAGTGATGTGTTATTTATATTTGTAGCATATTAAAATTAGATATCACATTTTTTCCTTAAATTTTATTTTTTCAAAATGTAAAATTCTGTATTGATCTAACGTTAAAATGCACAAACTCGATTACTTCACATCTGCTATAATCGTACAAAATGAATCGGTGATCCTGAAGTAAAAGAAAATGTGAAGTAATTGAACCTTGAGGGGTAATTTTTGGACGAAAATAATATGACATAAAAATAGCACTAAAGGATATTTATTAACAAAGGGAAGCCAACATATTAAGGTCAAACGTAAAAATAAATGTGCTTTGGCCAAAATTTTAATTTTTATGAACAAGGCAAACTTGTCTATAAAAAGACAACTGTTCGGTCATTAATACAAATTTCCGCAAATTTCACCGACAACGTTTGACTGTATATTCACCACGATAAATAAATACGATCTATGAAAAAGAAGTTGCATAAAAACTTTTTGGTTTTTGATTTACAGGCCTTCAAAGTTGTCAAAAATAATACTAATTTAATTAATAACTTCATAACCCTTTTACCGATCACGTTAAAATTTGGCACATTTATTTGGACTATTATTAAAACTTTAGTCAAATCGATATACTGGGTGATAGTTTTCTTCGATTACCTCTCCCTTTTAGTGATCAAAACTTTTACAGTGGTCGTATTTTTTTAAAATAGGCAGCAACATTGAAAAGATCGTTTTATTTAAAAAAAAAATATTGTCTTGCGAAAATCGCCTTCAGAAAGCCATTCTTGAGAAAAATGGCATTATTTACAGGTCTGTATGTTTCCGTTTGCTTAGCAGTGTCACGCTTTTAAAACTTTGAGTTCAGTAGGCGATGAAAACAAGATGTCGATTGCTTTGGCTATCAGGTAATGTCATTATTGTCGTGCTTCTTTAGGATTCTCATAAAAAGAGAAGATTCAGTTTGTTGTTTTGAAAAAGCTTAAGATACTAATCGACTTTCTGAGAAATGAAAGATTTTAGCAACTATGTATGAATTTGTTTTATTTCTTTGCGATGGATCAATTGTGCATGTTTGAAAGAATTAGGAAAATATTCTTTTTAGGATCCTCTCAGTTTTTGCCCCTGAATAAACTCGTCTACCTTAAACTTCTTAAGCGTCTTAAGCATCTTAATAGATATTTTGTAACAATCAATCCATTTCTTTAAAGAAACTAAACTTCATTTTTTGCTCATAAGTTGTTAAAATATTTCATTCCTCAAATGCAGTTAATTTGGTATCATGTATTTTTTCAGAGTAGCAAATAAAACATTCTCTCTCTTTTTATTTGAAATCTAGCAATTTTAAGAGAAATCGACGAGAAATTTTGACTGAAATCGACGGATAGTTAGGAAAGTCATTTTCCTGAACAGATTCATAGGCAGGAAAAATATTTTCAAAAAGAGAGCGTCACACATCTCGTACCCCACTAATTCAAAATTCAAATTCAAATTCTTTATTGTTCCTTCGTATACAATACATGAACAAGACAGTGTGGCATAAAGCAAAAGAAAAAGAAGAGAAAAAGTGTTGGTTTATACATAAACAAGGAGAAAACAAAGCAAACAAATAAAAAAGGAGAAAGTTGCAATTAGGCAAAGGTTACATGGTTAGATGATTGCTACACAGTACAGGGATCGTACCCCACTAATGCAGGAATTAAATGTTAAAATATGATTTTTATTGTTTTTCTTATGCCATATATGAGTTTTCAGGTACTAATGAAAAACTATTTGAAAAGTCGGACTTTAACCATGTAATTTGGCTTAAATTTCATTGTTTTTGCCCGAGAAATCTGTAACATCTTATATATTGTATTCGAAATAGTATTATAAGTATCCGATTAATTTTAGGAACACCATCTGACGCAATTTGGCCTGGATTCAGTGAGTTACCTGCACTCCAAAACTATAGCTTAAAACAGCAACCTTACAATAACTTAAAACAAAGGTTTCCTTGGCTTTCAGCGGCAGGTTTACGCTTATTAAATTTCTTATTTATGTACGATCCACGTAAACGGGCAACAGCTGAGGAATGTTTACAAAGTAGTTACTTTAAGGAACCACCACTGCGTAAGTTTTAAGCTAATTTTCCGATAAAATTAATAACGGTAGGATTTATAGCTTGCGATCCAAAATTAATGCCAACATTCCCTCAACATAGAAACATTAAAAGTAGTAAGTCATCGACATCAGATCAAAATACTGGAGCAGGAGACCAAACCAACAATTTACCGGCCATATCAGATTTGGTAAGATTAATGTATCTATATATATATATATATTTCTGGATATCTGTAATAAATTGTTGTGTTTAATATTTCAGCTTGGCTCTATAGTTAAAAAAAGAAGAATGGAATAAATATTTAAAACATTTAGGTTGTACACGTTAATTAAGAAATTTAGTGTTACTGATTTATAAAGAATAAATGAAATATCTTTCAAATGTTTGAACAAATATTCTCATTAACAATATAGGCTATAAAAATGCATAGATATATGCATGAATTTAATAGATTTCTGTATCTCCATCAACACCAACGTAGTGACTACTAATTCAAGAGCTACAGAAATTGAATAGAAAGAAAGTTAAATATTAAAACTAGAAAATTTGTAAAAATAATTTTTAAGTAATGTTTGAGAAGTGCCTGGTGAATTATTTGAATTCAAAATTTAGAGAATATTCGGAAAATGCCTTACATACTGAAGGATATACATTCTGCCCTGAAACGATAAAATTTGTAGCATCGGAACAAAAATTCGTGTCACTAATGTGGAGAATCAGTCACTTACCTATTTCACAAGTTAAATAGATTTATAGTCGACTATAATGGAAGAGAAAGAAATGAATAATGATAAACGGAATTAAACCATTGTTGAAAGTATAAAGAGTGCGTCACGAAGAGGGCCCAGTAGGATTATCTCAAAAAGTAGTCAGAATTGAAATTTGAAAATTTGTATACAGGGGTTTATCAAAAAGGTCTATTGAATGAAAATAGTGTTAACTTCCTCGCACTTCCGGTTATATCGGAAGTCTCTGTTATTTCAAATGGAACACTATGTATATTTATGCATTTTTTAATTCTATGGCAAATTCTAGACTATTTTCATATAAGGTACTATAGACCAAAATGTGACAGTTTTCAAGTTATTACTATTCGAAAAAAATTGAGGGATGTAAGTCATTTTTGAAAATAGAGTAATTCCGACATTTTGCTTTATTTATTAATGAAATTTGGCATGGATAATTTAAGAGCAATGGAATTTAACCAGTCAAATTTGCAAAAAATGATACAGTATTTAAAAACCTGTGGCCAATATTGTGGCGTTGAAGTTGAAGTTAATTTCAAATGATACACCCTGTATATTATTACATTAATGGATGCAGAATTAAATTTCTTTTAAAATTATACTATACTAAATTGGAAATTATTGATTTCAACACAGAAAAATCTACGAGTATGTTAGGTTTATTTAAAGTATCACCCATTTTAATTTAATATATTGAATTATTATTTTTGGTGAAGGTATAACGATAATAAAAATTACAGTTTATTAATCGGACACCCTTTATTATTCAATTCTTTAGAGCATTAAATCCATTGTACATTTTTCTGTATTGAAATCAATAATTTTCAATTTACACAAGAACTGTTAAAACTGTTAACTTTGGGTATAGAGAACTATAGTATCATTTAAAAGTAAATTTAATTGTGCATCCATTAATGTAATAATATACAGGGTGTACCATTTGAAATATTTGAGTAAATTCAACTTCAACGTCACAATATTGGTCACACATTCTTAAACACTCTGTATGAATTTTTGCAAATTTGACATAAACTGGTTGAATTCCATTGCTTTTAAATTATCCATGCCAAATTTCCATAATAAATAAAGCTAAATGTCGGAGTTACTCTGCATAATCACTTAATCTCTGCATAATCACATAATCACTTGCATTCCTCAATTTTTTTCGAAAATTGATAGTAACTTGAAAACTCACATTTTGGCCTATAATACCTTATATGAAATTAGTCTAGATTTTACCATAGAATTAAAAAATGCAAAAATATACAGAGTGTTTCATTTGAAATAACAGATACACCCTGTATATTTTAACACAATACTGAGCATACCATACTAAAAGATGCCTTTGGTGCCAAAAAATGACTAGAAAACATGAACATATGTACGTTGTGCAATTTGCGCACGCTCCATAATTATGCAGCATGACATTTAAATTAAACAGAATGGGATATAAAAATGTAACAACATATCTTACTGATTACAGCAATAATATTTTTACCTGTAAAGACGGGAAATATTAGATTAAATATACAAAAATATAAGAAATTGTTCACTAGTAAAATGTTTATGTGATGTACAATTAAATTTCCGACAAGTTTGATCTTTTTTAGTCAAAAGTTGAAACTAATTGAGGTATATCAGGATGTTGAATATATTCTCGCTGTTTTTTCGTGAAAATTAATGCTTTACTAAAAAAAAAATAGTAAAAATTGTGTCACTGAAAGTATTGTTCATTTCTAGCCACTACTATCCCATTTTTCTGGCAGCCTTTCAATTACAAATAAAAACGACACGTCTTTTGAAACTATCCAAGAGTCGACACATTTTTTGCCCATTTAAGTGTTTCCAAGTAGGTTCTCACTAATTTAGAATATGTGGCCAAGCTTTGTCATGCTGCAAAATCACTTTGTCGTGTCTCTGCTCATATAGGGGCTATTTTTTCTTCATACATCAATTGCAGTCGCTAGCGAGCTACCGTGATGGTTTCATTCGGTTTGAGAAGCTCATAATAAACTACACCCAACTGATCCCACCAAATACAGAGCAGAAGCTTGGAACCATGGATATTTGGCTTTGTGGACGATGTTGATGCATGGCCGGGCTTGCCCCGTGATTTTTTACGCTTAGGATTATCGTAGCATATCCATTTTTCATCGCCAACTCGTACGGTTTAAAACTTCTGCAAATTCAGCTAACGTCTGACATGAGTCGTCGTGAAGTAATACCTCCAATTTTTCATCCTCAAGCTGTTTCGGTGCACCAAAGTGTTCTTTATCTTCAACATCAAAATCATTATTTTTGAGGTGTCTAAACAAATCTGTGCATGTTTGTGTCAGAGCATGGTCGCCGTAAACCTCAACAAGAATTAAGTGTGCTCCAGCTGCACATTATTATTTTTTTTTCTAATAAAGTGCAGTAAAATTCCTTGCAAATATATAGTGAAAAAAGTAGTTTACACTTTGGCTAAATAACATACACTGAATTTCAAGTCTAAATTACACACTTGCAGTTCTGGTAACACCGTCTGTTGGAAAACAGCTAGAACTTATTCAACGCCCCAGTATATAAAAACAAATTCACCCTTAAATTCAAAATGACGGATGACGTTACAAGGGTGGAGCTTCAAATGTGTGAATCCCCTTCTACTAGGAAAAGAAAATTAATTACTGAATTAATGCAATTTAAAATATAATAAATATAATAGCGACTGGGCTAAACATTAAATTAAAGACTGATAAAGATAGCAATAGTAATATTGTGTTGTAGAAGGGAGATGGACCTGCTTTGCAAACCACTGTATGATGATTTCTCTACCTTCTCTAAAAGCAATTTCTTGTGATGGAAATTCCAACTTGAAACTAAACGAAGTGCAAATATATTTCGATTATTTCCATTTTTAACTTGACATGATACGTCTGGTTTTAAATAAATGCAACTGCTAAAGATTTTGATTATCCTGTGTATGTGTCAAAATAATCAAAATATCTAAGAATTCACAATTTTCAAAATTATACATGTATTATGGGTTGTTCTAGGTATACATATTTTTTTTTCTAGGATAGATTAAATCTAAATATAAAAGCTCCGTTCGATTCTAAAAAAAAGTGGCGCAGTCAGCGACTTACCGATATGAGAAAGATGATATTATTAAATTTTTTCTGGGGTGGGTTGCGCTTTGAATTTTTTTAGTAAAAGGTAGAAATTATATAATTAGCATATTTCGACAAAATATTGAAGTCACCTGTATTCTCATTTTGTAAAATAGAAAAGGCACAGCAAAATATCAAATATGGCTTATTAATTGCATTAACTTTATGGCGCGATCCTCAGTTTTAGTTTAGAGAAGGAATAGGTCTCGCACGTTCTGCCCATACCGCCAAAACAGCAAATCGGTATGCTGATCCGCATTTTGAAATGTGAAATGCAAAGATTTCTTACATTTTATCGTAAAGAATAATATAATAAATCAATTTTTATTTTGTATTCCTATGAGGAGGCATCTATCACTATTTCCGAGAATACGTAAAAAAATTGTTTTCTCAAAATTGGAGTAGGTATATTCTAATTTTTGTAAACATTTCAAAATATTTAGGTTATAATAAGTTTCCATTTCAGTTTCTTACCACATCGTTAAAAAATAAAACAAAAAAAAGGATCGCTTATTTAAAAATTGTATAAATACATAAATACCTCCACGCGTACCTATTGCTGTTATTATATTGTTAATTAAGTTATGATTATTATGCATATTATTATGAATCAAAAAATGAGAGAAAGCATTTCAGGCTATTGGAAGGGATAGGGTTGGCACGGAGTACCTTGACTAGTGCCGAATCAGTGTAACTACTAGCTAGTTCAACAGCAATCAGAAATGTTGGAAGCGTATGTCATCGCTATAGAAAACCTACACAGGATGTTTCAAAAAGGTGTTGCCAAACTTGAGGGGGATATAGAGCACATTGTGGTAGAAAATTTTTGTATAAAAACCCCTAGTCGGAAATGAGCCGTTTTGTCCCTGGAACAATTTTTGTCCAAAAACGTAATGTTACCTCGTTGATCCCAAAAAACGAATAAAATCAATTTTTACCAACATCATGTGTAGGACATGCAGTTTGTAAACACAAAAGATAAACATGTTTATTTTGTTTTAAATAATTTTTTGTTATCCTTAATAAAAATCACTTAAATATTTGATGTCAACGTAATAACATTATACGTTTTTGGACAAAAATTGCTCCAGGGCCAAACGCCTCATTTCCGACTAGGGGTCGCCAAGTGAAACACCCTATATAACTAAATTTTTATGGTCATCACTTAATAACCACCAGTCAGTATGCCAACTCTGCATCCTGAAATGAGGAAGGCGTTGATTCACAGAAACAAATATATTGTATCTAATAAAAGAGCGGTTAATTTTATTTTGTGGTTCGATTTCTCAGAAATATCAGAGGTTTTTACATCATTACATTAAAGTTTTAATTGCATAATATTCTTGATAGAACGATATAACATTTTGTTCTGATGCAATATCTGCACCCGCATCGTCGGATAGAAGTGATGTTAGATTTGAATTATTTTCCTCAAATTTCTAATTTATTTCTGATACGTCTTCATATCTAAGCTTAAATAATCTTGGCTATGTTATCAATAGCTGTTTTAACAATGTGTAATTGATGTATTTGATAAATTCTCTTATGACAATACTTTAAATATTTTTTTCTCCGCGATATAATTCTTAATTAATCTAAAATTAAATAATTAAAATTAATAATTAATCTAAAAATCGTTATATTATATATTTGAAAAAGACAAATAACCACGTCAACTCAAAGTTTATGTGTTATATAAGTAAAGAGTAGTACAAGCAAGAAATGTTTAATTTCCTCTAAAAATGTGGAAGCCAAATTCTGGAAATGCGAATCTAATAAAGGATTGAAAATAATCTACTTGCCAATGAGAATAAAAAACATGTAAATAATATATGAATTTTGTTATAATCCGGCTTGATGAAGCAAACAAAGTTTGGGATTTATTAATTAAATTGAGTAACATTCCCCCCCCCAAAAAAAAAAAAAAATAGAATTGTTATTGGCCGGCTGGCTTTCCAAATTTGTCACAACAATGATTAAGAAGAGCGTATTTTTATATTTCCTGACACACCATACTATAGAAAAATTAAAGCCGAAATCAAAAGAAAGTTATAATTTAACATAAATACTAAAAACTATATACAGGGTCGGAAAGTCCCCATGGTTCATCGGCCGTTACGTGAGAGCGATAAAGAAAGTCATAGAAATCCGTGCGATAGAGAAAGATGGCTATAATGAAGGCGTCTAATAGTCACCGCCCATTTCGCCCTTCCACAAATAAGATCCACTTATTTGTGGTGTATAGTATTATTATTAGTGCTGGCAAAAACCGGAAAAAAGTGAAACCGGTTAACCGGGTTCCGTAAAAACCGATTTCAGATAAAACCGGTTAGTCGAATAGTTGCTAAAACCGGTTATTCGAATAACCCGTTACTTGAATCGCCAAAACCGGATACCTGAAAATCGGTGCTTTACAAAGACAGACCCGGAGAAATTGTCTAAGGACAATTACAAGCGAACAAATCGATGTCTTAAAAAAAAAAAAAGGAAGCTAGTAGATTATCGAATAATCGGTTATTTGAATAATCGGATATTTGAAGATTCGAATAACCGGTTTTCGGATTTCATAAAAATCCGAATTATCCGAAACCGGTTAACCGACTATCCAAAAAACCGGTTTCAGTTGCCAGCACTAATTATTATTTAATGAGAAATGGCATATAATGTACATGGAGATTATAATATCACATTGTTAATATTAAAGTCGCTAGATATCTATAAAATAAACAATTTATTCTATGTACATATATATACATCGGAGAAACATATATTTAAAATAAAGGTAATTATTTACTTTAGTGGCACCACCTCCAATTTTCACAAAATTTTGTCTACCCCCCTACTTTCGATGGTCGAACCCAGTTTTTGAGAAAAAAAATTTTCAAAATTCTAACCTGAATATTTCAAATAAATAACACTACGTAGAACTCTGTATATTTTATGTAGCTTTCAGAACATCTGTAAATAAACAATGAACATTGTTTAAGAAAAACATTTTCCCAAATTTGAACTAAAAAAAATGTGGGATGAACAGAGTTGAATGAGAGTGGGGGAATTCAATGTTGTCATCACGATTTACAAATGGCGGATTCAAACTACAAATTTTTTATTTATTAAATACATATTTTTTTACTTGAAATTTATGAAAATGTGTTTCGTGAAGAGTGTTAATTGTTCATAACAGATATTCTGGAAAGCTTCATAAAATATACACGTTGAAATATTCTGTACAATCTTTGTTAATAAATAGAACAAGTTCGTTCTTTATAGTACAGCAACGCGTCAAAAGAGGCGCTTCTGCAATGCTAGGTGGAGGGAAGTAGGGAGTTAAGTTTCTACACTACTACTTTTATTGTGGTATTAGCATTAATTTATGGGTGATGGGTGCATAACCTCAATTTATCTTAATGTTTAGTGTTTTATTTGAATATAGAACGTTCTTATAACGTTTCGCTTAAAAATGTAAATGTGAATGATTATATTTCCATCGCCAACGTTTAATATGATTAATAAATGGCAGTATTCAGTCTATAGAATATATTATTTTTAATGCGGTTATAATATCACCGGTTATTGAGGTTATATTTGTAAATAAATATGGATCAAGAAAAAACTGTACCCTTTTCTATAGTAAAACAAAAAATAATTAAGACGGAGTAAGTGTTTTTTATATGCTTAAATTTATGTGTGTATTTACAATAGTAATTTCTTTATTTCAGTGAAGTACTACGAATGTATGTCGATGTGAGCAATAAGTTGAAAAAAGCTCAGCAGGCATGTAAAGAAATGAAGTTGCAATATGATCAAATGGTTACCAATGTTAGTAGAATTAGGTTGGAACATGAACGATGTTCCTTTAACATAGAAAATTTGAAACAACGAAATGATTTGATAGATAAGGAAAATAGAGAACTTCGAGAACAGAAATCACTCTTAGAGGAACAGTATAATCAACAATCAGTGCAGTCCCAACTGAACATAAAACATCTTCAGGATGAATTGCAAATGTTGCGTGAGATTAGTTACGCAGCAGAAAGTTGTTCTCCCAAAAAGAAGCGAACCACCTTTAAAATGTTGGGAAAGAAAATTGAAAATAACCATTCAAGTCATCTAAAAATGAACGAATATTTACATCTCACTGAAGATTCCTTATTCGGGAAACGAAATCAATCTAATTCTCAGGTAAAAAATATTTCGACTAGATATTAATATGAGATCTTTTGTTAAAATTTGAAATGGAAACAAAGACAAGATAATTGACCATTTTTTAGTTAAATTAGATTTAAGCATAGAAATGGAGATATTTCGTTCATTTCTAATTGCAAAAAATATTTCTTCTATTTTTTTTTCCTTTCTAAGAGTTGTATCTTACGAATTATCATAACTAGAACAATCTGTTTGTCTTTGTTTTGTAGCTGAAAGCATTAGCTTTAAAAGTAATAAAACTTGGGTGCAATTCTTATCGGTGGCCCAAAAATGTTTTTTAGTAATTTTTTTAAATTTTATTTAGGATTTTGATATCTTGAAAATGTACAACTGTAGAACATTATATATGGTATTAAAATAAATATGATAATATGAAAAAAATTGCATGTGGGCCTTTTCCAGGGGAAAAAATGACAACCTCAATTTTTTAACTATATCTTGAAATATTTGTGCAAATATATTTATTTTTCATTATACAGGGTGTCCCGTTCATGTTTCAAAAATAAATTTGCCTGCAAGTTCTTCATGGGAAAATAATGGGGGTAGTTCATGTGGTGTTTTTTTCTTAGACGCATTGTTTTCGAGATACAGTGTGTTGAAGTTGTTACTTTCCTAATGGTTTTCCTTAAATACTCCAGTCGGCAGAGGCCAAAAAGTTACTGTTGGTGACATTTTCTTGATAACTCGGAAATAACTACACAGGAATACTTTAAATGATAAGTAACAGGCTAATTTGCTGACAAAGTATTTTATCAGGAAAAAAAATTATTAACAATTTAATCGTGAAAAAAATTTTTTTTAGTAGTCTNGAGGCGCTTCTGCAATGCTAGGTGGAGGGAAGTAGGGAGTTAAGTTTCTACACTACTACTTTTATTGTGGTATTAGCATTAATTTATGGGTGATGGGTGCATAACCTCAATTTATCTTAATGTTTAGTGTTTTATTTGAATATAGAACGTTCTTATAACGTTTCGCTTAAAAATGTAAATGTGAATGATTATATTTCCATCGCCAACGTTTAATATGATTAATAAATGGCAGTATTCAGTCTATAGAATATATTATTTTTAATGCGGTTATAATATCACCGGTTATTGAGGTTATATTTGTAAATAAATATGGATCAAGAAAAAACTGTACCCTTTTCTATAGTAAAACAAAAAATAATTAAGACGGAGTAAGTGTTTTTTATATGCTTAAATTTATGTGTGTATTTACAATAGTAATTTCTTTATTTCAGTGAAGTACTACGAATGTATGTCGATGTGAGCAATAAGTTGAAAAAAGCTCAGCAGGCATGTAAAGAAATGAAGTTGCAATATGATCAAATGGTTACCAATGTTAGTAGAATTAGGTTGGAACATGAACGATGTTCCTTTAACATAGAAAATTTGAAACAACGAAATGATTTGATAGATAAGGAAAATAGAGAACTTCGAGAACAGAAATCACTCTTAGAGGAACAGTATAATCAACAATCAGTGCAGTCCCAACTGAACATAAAACATCTTCAGGATGAATTGCAAATGTTGCGTGAGATTAGTTACGCAGCAGAAAGTTGTTCTCCCAAAAAGAAGCGAACCACCTTTAAAATGTTGGGAAAGAAAATTGAAAATAACCATTCAAGTCATCTAAAAATGAACGAATATTTACATCTCACTGAAGATTCCTTATTCGGGAAACGAAATCAATCTAATTCTCAGGTAAAAAATATTTCGACTAGATATTAATATGAGATCTTTTGTTAAAATTTGAAATGGAAACAAAGACAAGATAATTGACCATTTTTTAGTTAAATTAGATTTAAGCATAGAAATGGAGATATTTCGTTCATTTCTAATTGCAAAAAATATTTCTTCTATTTTTTTTTCCTTTCTAAGAGTTGTATCTTACGAATTATCATAACTAGAACAATCTGTTTGTCTTTGTTTTGTAGCTGAAAGCATTAGCTTTAAAAGTAATAAAACTTGGGTGCAATTCTTATCGGTGGCCCAAAAATGTTTTTTAGTAATTTTTTTAAATTTTATTTAGGATTTTGATATCTTGAAAATGTACAACTGTAGAACATTATATATGGTATTAAAATAAATATGATAATATGAAAAAAATTGCATGTGGGCCTTTTCCAGGGGAAAAAATGACAACCTCAATTTTTTAACTATATCTTGAAATATTTGTGCAAATATATTTATTTTTCATTATACAGGGTGTCCCGTTCATGTTTCAAAAATAAATTTGCCTGCAAGTTCTTCATGGGAAAATAATGGGGGTAGTTCATGTGGTGTTTTTTTCTTAGACGCATTGTTTTCGAGATACAGTGTGTTGAAGTTGTTACTTTCCTAATGGTTTTCCTTAAATACTCCAGTCGGCAGAGGCCAAAAAGTTACTGTTGGTGACATTTTCTTGATAACTCGGAAATAACTACACAGGAATACTTTAAATGATAAGTAACAGGCTAATTTGCTGACAAAGTATTTTATCAGGAAAAAAAATTATTAACAATTTAATCGTGAAAAAAATTTTTTTTAGTAGTCTTTAAATAATTCAGCGGGATGACTTTGTACGAAAAAATACTTAAACATGATTTTGTTCGTAATAAAAATAACTACAAAATGGCGGTGGTCCGATTACAAAATTTACAATAACAAAGCTGTGAGTATTAAAAAACGGTATAAAACATCAATTTTTTAAGTTGCAGTAAAAATGTCAATTATAAACAAAAAGTGATAAAACCTTCGAAAATTTAGTTCAATATACATACAATAATGACGCTAAAGCCTTAAATCAGGAGAGCAAAATTTTTTGTTCTATAAGGCGTTATACATTCATCGGCATTTGAAACTCGAAACTTTGCCAAATTTGTTCGCTGCTTTGCTGACACTTGAAATTTTGTTTACACATAGTGTAAATATGCAGAAACCAAAAGCAATTTGCAAAATTCAAGTATCTTCATTTTTGCAGTTTTGGTAAGCTTTTATACGTCACCGTTTTTTTAAAATTTTTGGACGTATATTTATGTATATTTATAAAATATTCCATTACGGTAGATTAGCCAGCATAATTACCTACAATTTAAAAAAATTTATATTTTCATCGTTTAGATCCTAATCTACTTAACATTTTGTGCCTGTTAGCCGTAGTCGTACATTATTCAACATATTAACATAAAACAAAATCGTACGTGTGGGGTAAACCTTTAACTCTTCATTTTCGAGCGCGAGCTCCACTCTTCGATACTTGTATACTGTTAGAAATATGCAACAGTAAATTTAAACAAATGTTTACTTAAAGTTAAAGGTTTACCTCACACGTACGTTTTTGTTTTATGTTGATATGTTGAATAATGTACGAGTATGGCTAACAGGCGCAAAATGTTAAGTAGCTTAGGATCTAAACGATGAAAATATTTTTGTTTTTAAATTTTAGACAATTGTGCTGGCTAATCCACCGTAATGGAATATTTATAAATATACCTAAATATACGTCCAAAAGTTAAAAAAACGGTGACGTATAAAACTAGGGTGACGTATAAAACCTTACCAAAACTGCAAAAATAAAGATACTTGAATTTTGCAAATTGCTTTTGGTTTCTGCATATTTACACTATGTGTGTACCAAATTTCAAGTGACAGCAAAGCTTCGAACAAATTTGGCAAAGTTTCGAGTTTCAGATGCCGATGAATGTATAACGCCTTATAGAACAAAAAATTTTGCTCTCCTGATTTTCGGCTTTAGCGTCATTATTGTATGTATATTGAACTATAATTTTCGAAAGTTTTATCACTTTTTGTTTATAATTGACATTTTTACAGCAACTTAAAAAAATTGACGTTTTATACCGTTTTTTTAATCTCACGGCTTTGTTATTGCAAATTTCGTAATCGGACCACCGCCATTTTGTAGTTATTTTTATTACGAATAAAATCATGTTCTAAGCATTTTTTCGTACAGTCATCCCGCTGAGTTATTTAAAGAAACCTACTAAAAAAAAATTTTTTTCACGATTAAATTGTTAATAACTTTTTTTGCTGATAAAATACTTTATCAGCAAATTAGCCTGTTATTGTACTCATCATTTAAAGTAGACCTGTGTAGTTATTTCCGGGTTATCAAGGTTTGACACACGCCGAACCTCTACCAACTGGACTAAATTATCTTTGAATCGTGTAAAGATAAAAATGTCAAAATCTGTACACAAGTAAACATCAACTGTGCGTTAAGAAAAATGTGCAAACTGTTTCTTTCTGAAAAGCATTGTCGCCGATACAGGCAATTGGAGGGCAGCTATTTTGTTCTGTCTGTTTCCGAGTCTGTTTTCTAATATTTTTCTGTTCTTATCACTTATTTTAAGCATTCATGTAAATCAACAATTCAGTCCATTCAACAATTGTTTATTTTAGTAGTGGTAGTGTAGTAGTTTACAAAATCTAAAATTAGTTATTAATATCAATTATTATTTACTTTTTTAAATGTTATTTTACAAGCTTAAACTTATAATAAATTTTAATTTTTTTATTTCTTTAAGTTAATAAAACGTTTTACAATGTAACTTTTTTATGTGATACGCAAGAAATTAAAATTATATTCTTAAATGCAAAGACTATTGGTAGCTAAATGTCTTCAGCTCATTCAGTGGTAACCAATGTACATTCAATACAATACATACATACAATACAGTACAATACATTCAATGTACTTGTGCCGTTTTATGTGAGCATAAAATTGCAACTTCATATTTCTCGAAAATGGTACATGTTACCGAATTTCGACAAATATACCTTTTTTTTTGTAGTATACTTTAAAGTTACAAAAACCGTTTAGAAATGTAACAAATTTTGAATTTTAACATTTTTTTTTTCGATTGTACCCCTCCAATTACCTTTATCGGCGACACTGCTTTTCAGAAAGAAACCATTAGCACATTATTTTTAAAGCACATTTGATGTTTACTCATGTACAAATTTTGACATTTTTATCCCTAGCCAAATTAAAGATAATTAAGAAAATCCATTTGGAAAGTAACAACTTCAACACACTGTATCTCGAAAACAGAGCGTCTTAGAAAAAAACGTAATATGAACTACCCCTATTATTTTCCCATGAGGAACTTGCACACACATTTTTTTGAAACATGAATGAGACACCCTGTATACGGTAGGCAGATAGACTCTTGATGTCAGTATTCCAAAATTCCAGGACCGAACTATGAAAATTCTTATTCTTTTGTGGTCCTTTCTGAAAGTTTACCCTGCATATTTTGCTAGTATTTCCATAACATACTGAAAGTACTTGAAAAATAAGAAAAATCATGCATATGATTTTCTTACATTTTTTTTTTTTTTTTCAGGAAAAAGCCAATATTTTAGTTCAGTTTAATTATAGACTAGCTATTATACTATCACAGATTTTATGAATTCTAATTGAATTATTTGAATACTTGTCACATCATAAATCTCCTCCATATACCTTCCAAAAAGAGTTGAAAAAGTTATAATGAGAATCTCTAACTAGACGGAGTTTAAAATGTATTAGGTATTTCTACATCAATGAAGAATAAAATACTTAAACAAAACCATTTCCTCATTTTTCTCAAATAACATAAAATCATTGTTGAGTAATTTTAAATATTTTAATACAGCTTTTGGTAACCTAGGTGAGAAACGACAGGACATTAAATTATTTAACCTTACTCAGAAACTAAAACCTAATTATTTAAACATCAAAAAGCCTTCAGTAAATATACAGGGGGGGGAGGCTCTTCTCATGTCACAAGTGGATAAATGTTTTTCTATCAGGTTCTAGATTTTTTTTTAATTTTGTGTATAAAAATGCAGTAAGAAACCGTGAATTGTCAATAAAGTGTGAGCAAAAATTAAATGCATGGTATTTGTTACTGGTTGATATACTTTCAATATGCTTCCAATGTATATGAAATAGTAGATACTTAAATTACTGTGGCAACTTTCCGATGTGTCAAGTGAAAAAAAATATGGAAATTTTACAAAAAAATCAAATGATTTAAGGTAATTAAGGTAAGTCATGAGACATCCTGTGATTTATTAAATACTTGAAATAATAATTTATTAATATCAGTGGCATTTGAACATATGTACATTCTTTCAACAGGGTTTTTTTCATAAAATGAAAAAATAAAAATTTACCCTATTTTCAATTTCTTTGTATATACATATAAATATCTACTTTTTTCAGACGTTAAAGAGTTATAACATAATTTCTCTTGCGATTTTTCGAATGTGGTCCTGGAATTTTTACAAATTTTATTTCGAGGGCTAGCATAGCATATGAAGTATGTATAATAGAAATAAATTAACATCTCGACGAAAATCCTAGAGTACTTTTTAATTCAGTATAAAAATGTTTTATTCTCTTTCCTACTAGTTTTGCGTATTATGTTTTTATCAGGGAAAAAGAAGAATGTCAATCACTGGAAAATAAATTGCTGCATAAACTACTAATAAATAAATAATAAGTAATTGTTTGTCCTCGATCTGCCTCAATAAGTTAAAAGTTTTTTAAAAAATATGCAGATATTCTCATATGTATACAAAAGTTATAATGTAATTATTAGTAGTAGTAATTTTTTTTAATGTGTCATTTTTCTTTTCCCTTGATGATGTCATAATAACTGAAACTAGTAGGGTAGAAAATAAAACATTTTTATACTGAATTAGAAAGGACTTACACCATAAATAAATTAGTTTGGATAAATGGTTAGTGCAAAATTCAAAGATCATTCTGTATAACTCAAAGTTTTGAAGTATTCATTTCTTACTTTCTCAGGTTGTGTCACTTTACCTTTTAGTATGTACATTTGTCATGAAACAACCTGTATCGGATATGTTCTATATTTATGCCATAACTTCATTTTAAGTCCAGAACCACTAACATCTAAAGCCACTGATTTCATAAGTGTTGAAGTCTTGGAAAAATCTTACATAATATTTAAGTAAATGTGATATTTTAACAAAAATTCTTTGTGTGTATATTAATTTTGGCAACATATATAAAAACAACTGTTTTTTTAACCTGAAACTTTCAAATGTCTCGAGAAATAAGCGCCCTACAAAAAACTGTCAATAATTAAAATTTAATCATTCCGTGGGCGAAAAACATTAATGCTAAAATTACTCCCTCTCCCCCACCCCTTAAAAAAGTACGTAGGATTTGTCTGAAACATTTTTTTCGATTCACGATAGATGGCACTGTAGTAAATGAAATTCAATTTTTCTCCATTTCTCCTACTGAGAACCTATGTATAAGATTCTCCAATGTGTTTGCAATAAAAAATACCACGTTTTATGTAAATACTCGAAATTCGTCGCCAAGACAATTTATTCATTTTGCAAATTTCGAATAACTGCGAAATTGGTACGTGGCTGATGAATAAACTACTTTTAGCTTAACTAGGAACATCGACGGGGACATAGTAGTTTTCTACTCCCTTCGAAGTGCTTGATTAAAATGACTTGTTATTTCTTTCTTTTTACGTTTATTTTGTTTTTGCAGGTACAAAAAACATGAAGAAAGAAATAACACAAATGTTAAATGTGAACATAATATGTAAAACCTTTTTATAAAAATTATTTTTAACGAAGGAAGCGGTGTCTTTAAACAAAATTAAAAAAAATTAGTTTATTTAAAGGTCGATCTATTCAAGCATTCCTATAAGTCATATGCGAAGGAAATCGATATTCTTGAGAAGTCATTCTTCAGTAATTGAAAATTTGGGAAATGAATTTTTTTTTAAAACTAATTTTGAATATTTACAGTGAAAACGTGGTATTTTTTATTGCAAATATATTGCAGAATCGTATGTATAGGTTCAGTAGGAGGAAAAAATTGAATTTTGACGATTAAATTTTGATTAAGGACATTTTTTTCGTAGAGTGCTTATTTCTCGATATACCTATTTAAAAGTTTCAGGTAAAAAAAATCACCCCGTATATAATGTTACCCCTCAGCGCTGCATTCTTATCTGGTGTCATCTTTTAGGTAGAAACCATTGACTATTCAGCGTCATATGCAACTGCAAACGAAACATTTAGTGAAGAAAATGTATTAAATTCAAATCGTGACAACACTAAAAATACGTTTAATAAAGAAGACTCGATTAAGGAAAATAATTCTAGATGTACCATGAATATTGCTACTCAAACACACAAATTTGAAGTTGAAAGAAGAAGTGTTCATATACAAACTGTAGAAACAATAAAAACTTTACAGGCGCATGATAAAATTTTACTAGAAAATGAACAATTGAAACAAAGAATTATCGAGAATGATGCAAACATTGTGAAATTACTGAGAACAGAAAGAACAAAGAAAAGTTGTTCAACCCAAACAGAAGAAATAGAAATTGAGGACGAATTTGTGGAAAATATTTTAAAGGAAATGTTAGTACCTTGCGTATTGTCTCCGATGAGCCCCGATCCTAATTTCAACTCAAATCTTGTAGGAACAGTTTCACCAACACCTATAGATGTAAAAAATTCCATTCTTCCAAAAATTTTAGTAGTTCCTCCTACTCCAATAGAACAGAGTATAGAAGTAGATTTTGCTGTTGACAAAGAACAAGAAAGTGACAAAAATGCCAAATTAATCACAGACAGGAACAATTTAGGAAAATCTGGAACAAATAAGGAGCATGGAGGAAATTCCAGATATTCTAAAAGATATAAATATAGGTCACCCACTATAAGCAATGACTTTATAAACTTTGTGAAATTAAAGAGAAAGTGTCTTAGAAGATTATCAAAGAAAAGGTATATTTTAAATAAAGAAATAAGGAAAATTAGGAAATTACAAAGGCAGGATAATCTTTTAAAAATTTTACATACCTTGAAACAATTGAATATTAATTTTACAATATCAAATGATTCCATTACATCAGAACTGTATAGCACTAAAAAGAAAGAAGATTTCAGTTATTCTAAAAGTGATCATATCGAAAGAGATATACCCCCTGCCATTCAAAAATCTGAAACATATTCAACGGAACAGTTAAATTGTATCTGCAAGAAATGCGTTCAGTCTTCTATGTTACTGAGTAATGTAGGTGGTGAAACACATTTATTAGGATTCTGTACCATAAAAAATGAATTTCATACACCGGCAAGTAGTAGAATGGAAAATAACTGGAATTCAAAATCGTATGACCCTGTAAAACAAGTTAATTCATCTTTAAGTTATAGTAATAATACGCCCGAAAATGTTTTGGAAACACTTGCAGAAATGGTTAGCAGAAAATTAAATAAAAAAGGAAAAAGTATATTAAACGCAAAAGGAATATCAGATAAGTACGACACATTTGATTCCGAAACTGAAACCGAAATCGAGAGATTATTTAATACATCTGACAACGATGTTCTTAAAAGAAACAAAATGCTTTTAGCATCAGCTAAAAGGCAGAACCAAATACCGGATCTATCAATACAAAGCAAATTAGAAGAAATAGGAGATATTTCGGTTGATTCAGATTTAACCCTTCGCAATGAACAATTTGACGATTTTGACGAATATGTAAAACTTGTACCTAAAAATAAAAGATTGGAATATTCTACACCTCCGAAAAATTTTTCACTTATTAGTGACAATGTATGTAGCGAAAATGAAGAAATTTTTGATTATGAGTTGCCATTATGCCCCCAATTATTAAGCCCCATAAAATCTTTAAAAAATGTCAAAATTAATAAAACAAAAGATGTAAGTAACTCGTATGAAATTGAAGATACAGATAGTTTCATGTGCAATAGTGCTTACCAAAAATATCAGAACTCAGATGAAACAAACGGAATGTTACAAAGCAATGTACAAAATGAGTCTAGTAATTCAAATTCTCTTAAATCACCCGAAGATGATGGTGAATGGAGAATATCAAATAATGAAGAAAATAGTAAACACAGCAATACATCTTCAAATAGGGAGCAACAACAGAACTGCGTAACAAATACAATCAAAATTACTTCTGACCACAATTCGATTGGCACTAGATGTGTCCCTGAAGAAGAAAGGGCAAACCCTTTGTTAGAATATGATCCCAATAAATGTTTAATTGATACAGACTTACATGAACAGAATTTTAGTATTCCAGATATTAAAAAAACTGATCATAGTCAGTATCATCACGAAACTTTCTCACAATTTTCAGAAGAAGCCGATATTGCTGAGAACTCAAATAGTATATTATTGGCTGACAATTTAATACAATCCTTACACCCACCTCCTGTAGAACACATAAAAACGTATGAAATTGGTATTGCACTTTTAAAGGATCGTAACGTTGTTATTACCAATGAAATGGACGAGTCTCCAAAATCTCCTATTGCAAATGACATAAATATAGGAGTCACACCTCCAATTCTTATTCCATTAGAAAGAGAAGGAACTAAGAACAACTGTAAAAAAGAAAACAAAGACATAGACACATTTTCACCATCTGCAGTAACGACACCAAACCATGATGTCATACCTTCGCCACAAAAAAGTATAAGACGTTCAAAACGAATTTCACAAAAAAAAGAACGCCTGAACAATAGCAATAATGTAACAGACTTAAATAAAACATTAACGGAGGAATCTAGTAATCCACGTCCATTGATCTTTGGTAATGTAGCAAAGGAACAACTACTAGAAGAATCTTCGAAAGATGTCTGCCAGAATAACAAGAATTTGGTAAACATGCAAGCTGAAAATGTTAACGTTGCTCATGTAAATGGGAATAAAAGGGCACCGGTTACGTCAAATACAAGAAGAACTATGAGCAAATTGAAATCAAAAGTTTTAAAACAAGTTAGAGCGAAAAGACAAATGTTGAGGACAAGTGCCGAGTGTAATATGCTGAATATAAATGATGGTAAACCAACTACTGAAGGTACCAAATTTGCTGCGCCGGTTAACAAAAATGTTAATAAAATCTGCATCGTACAAAACATTCTCATACCGGCAAATTCAAGTAGTCCTGTAGATTTATTAAAAGAAAGCAAGCAAGAAAATGTTGCTCCAGTTGTAGAAAATTGTGATATTAGGTTAAATAATGAACAAAATTCTAGTCAAAGTGACGCAGTTGTCTCCAACTGTTCCAACAAGAAAAAAAATTCCACTAACACATGCAACGTGCCTAATAAGAAGAGGCGTGTTGATCGTACAAAGACGGGGTGTGATCTCTTATCAATGATAATGGAAGAAATGGATAAAGATAAACCTGAAATTATTCCGAAGAGGAAGAAACAGTTTGTTGTTTCAAAAGAGATAGTTCCTGACAGTACCGATGAAAAACAATGGCGTAAAGGCGTTTTGGTAATTGCAGAGAATATCCACAACGTTTCGTCCAAACCAGTAGAACCTAGAGAACGTGTTGTTAACAAAGATAAAGTCTTCAATCCAAAATCTAAGCTTACGGGTGAGTAATTTTGTTTATATAAAGTAGTTGTTTGTATAATAAAAGAATAATTTTGCACATAAAAATGATGTACAGTAGACCCCTGAATATCCGTGTGCGGCTGATCCGTGCGGCGGATTCTTCGTGCGCTGCAATGTTTATGATTATTCGCTATCCATGCATGGATTATCCGTGGCAGGGCGAAAAAAGTGCTCAGAAACAAAAAAAAAAAAGATAAATCCCTGCTTGTTTATCGCATACATATTATTTACCTACATATGTACAAATGTATGTAATAGGTATGTGTAATAAAGTTCATATTTTTTGCAAAATTGACATGTCACATAAAAAAATGGATTAATTATTTTGATTAAATTTTAACTTAAGGAGGTTTATCGGGTACGGAGGTACGTCTAAAAGTCTAACAAGAATTTCTGTACATTCGCTAGTGACTAAAGTAGTAAGCCTTTAGATTTGGCAACGTTGCACTTGGCTGGCTTTGTTTGGATGCCTAAGCTTGAAATATACACCATATGTCACACCTGCGAATTTCAAATAATACGCTACGTCGAGAACCGTAGTTAGACGTTAAGTTAATCAACAACAGCAGTTTGAAGGAGAATTATTATAAATTATGTATCTTACAAGTATCTAATCCATTTCTACGAGCTGTCATACGGTTCCTTAGATATTGGTTTCCTATTTATACAAGTTGCTGTAAAAACCGTTTGTCAATTGCTGCGCATTCTAAGTGGAAAGACAAAAAAAATCTGCATTCTCATAAGTTTGTACTAAATCGTGAAAAATTATTTTATTAATATCTCGTCTCTTAGGTATCCAAACAAGTCATAATTTGTTTTGAGGATTTTCTTCATATTAATCTGCACATAAAACTTCTAGGATAAAACAACTAGGATCTACAAAACTTTAGAGAACAAATTTCTTAGATTTTTTTTTTTGGAGATCTAGAGTCATTAGTGACCATTTTTGACGTTAATAATAATTATTGCCCTAAGGTTATTTTACCTTGTAAAAACGATATCCAGAGTTGGATATCCACCGATGCCATAATTCCCTTGATATGTTAATGTCCACTTCTTCGCTCCATACTGCAGTAATTTTTCTCACAGTAACTCTTCTTTGGTGCTTGCAGATGTTAACAAGAGGTCTTTCTGTTTTTTTTCCGAACGTCTATCCTAGCAGCTTATTGCTCTCTAATTGTGAATTTCGGCATAATCACTTCAACAATTATTTAATTGCTCTTTTTTAGAGGTTGCCAAGCCTCACATGTAATTTTGTACAAAACTGTTCATTTTTTGAGGCAAATAGTGATGAGTTCGAACATTTAGTTGTCAGCAAATTAACCAACACATTACTGTGAAGGGTTTGAACATCAGAACAAATTTTATTATTTGTGAAATAATCATTGAAATTTTATCCAAAATGTTTACAAAATGCAGAATATGTTTATTCTAAGTTTGTGTGTTATCAATTACAGTTAATGCTAAAAGGACCACACACTGCATTAAAAAGTGGTCTCAGTCAAACTTGAAAATTGCTGTGGAGTTATTTTGGGCCTGTGAAATAAAGTTCCGATCATAAAAACTCCAACAGATGGTGAATTTGTCTGTTTTTGGTCAGTTTTACTCCTTTTTTAGCATTTCCGACACGTGTAGATTGAGTAAAAATGCAATGCGGATAGTGATGTCAGCCATTTGTAAGGAAGATAAAGTTCATGTCACACTACCTTCACCTTTTACCCCCCTCCCAAACCGGTCAAAAACTACCCCGAAGAGGGTTAATTAGTGTATGGTCCTTTTCGCTCATTCGAATATTTAGTTATCAGAGTTCATACCTAATAATAGAAAAATTACAAAAACTATAAATCTGATTTATTTACTTGACTAATGTGAAAAATTACATAATTAATAAGTTAATACTCGGTCAAGTACATAGTGTTTTAAACAATCTGTTATTTAAAACGTCTTTGATGTGGTTTAGTGCTATTACATGAAGCATGACAGCACGATGTTTTGAATGTATGATTTGCTCTCGGACTTTGGCGAAAAAATTAATGCAACAAAATATATTTATCTAAAAATGTATATTAAATATCTATCTGTCTTTTTTTTATTATCTCTACATACAAAAATTTGACAATTATTATTTTATTTTTTTTTTTAGCAAAAAGAAGAATTCTTCTATCGAGATTACTAAAACTTTCTAATGAGGAGGTGATACCAGAGGAAATTATTCTAGAGTTTCAACGCCAGGATGTAGATAACATTGTAGAGTAAGTCTTATTATATATTTCTGAAATGTTGAAACACACTACTCCATACAAAAGTTGAGGAACAATTGTAAGGAATTACATAAAATATTAATTATTATTAATTTGTGTTTTTAATTTATTCTTTAATATTTTCATTAACATACGGTTTAATAGTAAGAATATCAATTTTTATTATAGGATAATTCTTCAACAAGTTTCTCAAGATATCTGGGATAAACCAGATGTTAAATATTATCCAGCACCTTTAATGACAAGAACTCAAAGGATACTATTGGGGCTTATGGTAAGATTAGAACAGGAGAATATGGAAAAAGTTATGGACACCTTTGTTTCTAAGACTGAAGCTTTCTTATTTAAAGTAGGTTGTGGAATAAGAACATTGATTCCAGTTGTAAGACTATATATGGCTGTTTGCAAACTAAGAAGAGATATAGATAAAATGAGAAATTTTTGTTGCGATGCATTCCTTTTCATGGGCGATCTAGCAGTTCCATTATTGTTTACCGTTCTAACATCTTGGACTGAGGTTTTACCAATGGAATCAGATATAAACAGTTAGTTTTTTATTACTTTTTTCTTTTGTTAAAAAAAATTGGTATTTTTTTTTGACCATTTGCAAGCTATTTTAATGTTTATTATTATTTTAGAGTATCCATTAGCTAAGATTTTGATTCAAGTTGTTCACCTGAAGAGTTGTAACAAACCGGGATATAATCTTTTGCCACTAAAATTTCTATTCAGTCAGTTTTATGGATACCCCAAGGAAAGATGGAACTGTGATGACATGTTTGAGGAACTGTTTCAGCAGTATTTGAGTAAGTCGATTATTTTTACCTTTTCGACGTTTTGTTTTTTTTCAATGGGTTGGACTACAGTGACTGTATACAAGACAGTGGCGACAATAGAGTGTATCATTTTTAATTGGTCCACGTGATTTTAGCTGAAATGTTGCATCCAGTGTCAAATTCATATGGATAAGTCGTGTGTGTGAGTGAGTGAGTTTTGCGATTGTATCTTTACAAAACTTAAGTTTAAAAAAGTTTTTCTTAAATGAAATGTCTGGTTTAAATTTAGATGTACCAAATTGTCATCAGATCAAAAATAAAATTGTTAAACGATTTATTATGTTCCGATTAAAAATAGCTTCCAAAAAAATACTAAAAAGCATAAAAAAAGCTCGCAAGTAAAAGTGTTGCTGGACATTTATTGTTACAAATACTATCACTAGTATTAAGTATTTGTTTTTGTAATATAGACCTAATAATTGTGTATTGTACGTGTGCTTAATTTTACTTGCCTAGAAAATAAAATACTTGCTATTATTATATATATTGCACAAGTAGATTCTACATTCATACATTATTTAAAATCACTTTCCAAGGTAGTTATTTGCTTAAAATATGTGCGTAAAATTTATAAGAAAAATACTATTGTACTTAATTTATTTTTTTTAGTTACTTTTAATTTGACATTGGATGCAACATGGTGGATGGGCGGGGTTTAGTCGCTATTGTCGCCACTGTCTTGTATAGAGCCACTGTAGGTTGGACCAATAAAAATCTGTTAAATCTCAATCACAAAAAATATGATACTTAAGGGATAACGGCACTCTAGAGGTTGGGAAGAGGTAATTTTCAGGAGTTTTCTAGAAAAAATTGATGCAATATATGGTGTCATGAACAAAAAGGCGTTATTGTACATGTTTTCAGCTAGTATTGTGAATTTTTTCAAACAATTTGGATTCAAAATGGGAGCTGTAGGTCATGGCAAGCTACGACACTCTTTATGCAGAGTTTTGGTGTGCTCAATTCGAATCTGAGGTCCAAATTTCTCAATTGGCTCTGGTTTTCTAGATATCATAACCTAAAAGTGCCAAAATCGCGATTTTTTTACTTATTTGAGGTTATGTTACATGGATAGGTAATTTTTTTTGCTAAAACCATTAATGGGGTCTTAGAATAAAGTACTGTATTTACTCTTTAAAATGCACTTGAATTTATTGAAATTTAGTAGTTTTTTTTTTATTTTTGAATATACTCACAACACAGCGCCACAAACCTTATGGGTTTAAGGGCTTAGGGTTGATGAGTTCGAGACTGAGCGTATTAGCCTCATTTGAGTGTAAATGTATTTCAAGATTGATATAATGCCTAAATTTTCGGCCATATATTGTATTTTTAGAAATTTTTTTAAGTTTATTGCAAAATTTGACATGATAGAGTATTTTGTATTCATGATCAGCGACGTTGACTCATACTGAACTGTTTATAGAAAAAATTAAACATTCCTCAAATGGTAAGACTTCGCCGAGTCGGATTCGCAATTAAACAACGTTGCTTAATATACAGTATGATGAAAATTGACTCCGACAGTAACGAAAAAGACAAAAAATTTTGCATTGTTAATAACAATGAAAGTTGTTAATCAAAAAACCCCTACGACGTTCCCTAAATTATGTTACTATAAAGCTCTGAACAAAATTTCTTGAATTCATTGAAAACATTTTGAGTTGTTTCCAGACAGTTAAAAAAGTGGTTTCTAGAAAAATGCTTTTAAAGTTTTTGTTACCATTTAACATAAGAAATTCGTTACATGTATACCTTAAATTATTGATACTTCCACCATATAATTGGCCTTCTATATTGATATTTTCTTCATCCTTTTCTTTTCGGCTTGATCTGAGACTCAATCTGGCCTCTATAAAATAGCTAACTACCGCGCAGGTTCCCACGAGTTACAATAAACTTCAATAATTGCGAGTGGTTGCGCACCACCAAGAAAAAAACCATGTTCTCCCACCTAAAATGTTTTCCCTATATTCTTCACATAAGAGTGGCTTTACCCCTTAAGCAGTAAATTACTACAAAAAATGTTTAGTCAATAACCTGTTATGCTAAACGTTTCATAATCTTTCTATCCACATGCACATTGCAGCAGTGAACACTTCATTGCTTTTTATGGTAAAAACATAACCTATATTTGAAGTGGGAAATACTTACATTTTCTTTGTATAAACAACAAAATAAAACAATTCTATTAGTACAGAATTTCTTTCAAATTACTGTTACCGTTAGAAAATTATATGAACAATAAGTTTATAAATTAAAATGAAAATTTCTTTGAAATGTCGGTAAAAAAATTCTTCCTTATTTAACTTTTTCCTATTTCATATAAAAAATTAAAACTGAAGGGTTCGGTACAGCACCAGCCACACTGTGTAGATTTGCAGTTTAGAATGTCCTGCTAAATATTGTGATAAAGTCAGTAGTTCCCAAGTTTTCTACTAAAATATCATACATATTTATTTTAAATTTGACCTTTTCCTAATTTTTTGTGCAAAAAAACTTACATTAAATACAATACAAAATACATTTGCGTACAATGTATTTCCATGTTGTGACGATATGACGCAAAACAGCTGGTTCATTCGTCGGTTGTCTCACCTATAACACACTGATGAGGACTAATAAGTCCGAAACCGATCTGTGCCTGGTGGGTTAAACTGACGAACGATCCTAGCTGTTGCGCTACATGTTGCCAGTATAATTCAATGCCGGTAGGGGCATGTAGCCCTTGGAGTAGTTGATTCTCGCAACACTGACAATTATAACTGGTTTTATAAGTTTAATCATGATTTTAAAATATATATTGCTTACTGTTCAGATTTATTCAATGTAAATTTTATTCCACTTTTTAAATTGAATTTATTGCCTTTTATTCAATTATAATGTGGATATACGAGTCTAAAAATAGACTTCTGCTCAATTGAAATGGATTTATCGGTTTTTGCTGAATCAGATTTAGGATACACCGACTTCTGTTTAATTTCTACTTATTTTATTGAAAAGTACAACACAATATACCATACATTTTTATTTGAATTATACACATATGGTTCAAAGTACAAAAATTTTAATACAAAACGAAATAAGAAAATTGTGAAAATCTAAATGTGCAACCCAACATCGTCTTCTAAACAATCACATAAAACTTCTTCCTGTTGTTCTTTGTAGGCCATCTCAAATATAATATTTTTGTACCAAGACAAGTCTTATTTTATTACAATTTCATATTTACGCATTGCATGTATGTGAAAATTGCACCATCTCGCGATAAACTATGAAACTGCGAAACAAAAGAAAAATTTTTAAAGAAGTCTGTTAAATTTAGTATACATGGATTTAACGCTCTTTGCTTGGTCGAAATATGGATTTATTTGCTTTTGGTTAGTCGCTTATTTTAATATGCTGATTCTCATTGAATTTAACGTTCTTTGTTCAATCTAGATGTAACCAAGCCGTAGATTGAATTATTAAGAAGCGATTTCCGTGCCTAACAAAAAAAATGTTTAAAAATGGATTTATCGGCTTTTGCATAGCTGCTCCTCAACTGATATCAGAGCTTTGTCATAACCTAGCAATTTTTTTACTAAGATTGCAATTATCTAAACCGAAAATAAAAATTGACAATATTTGTGTATTAATTTTAGTATATGAACACATTTTATTTCAGGAAATCCCAATAAATCTTCGGATCTTGCAATACGACTACTTTGCAAGAATAAGGATACAAAATGGGTATACAAAAAAGTTAATGAATTTTTCAAACCATTAATCTATAAAATTCCTTCAGAAAATGTAAATTTTAAAGCAACATCTATCATTTTGATAGGAAACATATGTAGACATTTTAAGCCAGAAAATGAATTTGATGAATCCAGCTTAAATGATTTGAGAAGGTGGCTGACTGGATTAACAGAAGGTAAGTTTTTCACTACTTTAACTTAAATATTTTGTATTTTAATGTCCCCACAGTTAAGCAATTAATATAGTGCAGTTTACACTAGATAAATTATTTTATTCACTTTGGTGCATCGCATCAAAAATACAAACATTTTACAAGGGGATCTGCCATATGTGTTATCCACTATTTTTGTTATTAGACAGGAAAAAATGAAATCGAACAAAAATTATAGGCAACTTAAGCATCGGATTTCGGAGATATAGCCTAACATACATTTTTTAAACAGAAAAATCCTGTGTTTTCTAACAGGCTGGACGGAACACTTTCTTACTGCTACAGTGGAAAAAACGTATTCAACAGGATGTGTAAAAATGTAGTGTTCTGTTAAAAAAAAAATAAGTACGAGGTTTGATCAAAAAGTAACGTGAATTGTTAATTCTTTCAGAAAGTATTTATTTAACCTTCAATTTTTATCCCATACCATTTAGAGTTCCCCTGTGATATCATACCCTTATGCCGACATAGTTTCCAGTTTGAGAAACACTGGTGGAAGACATCTTTAGGTATCGTCTTGAGCACGGTTTGCGATTTGCCTTTATCTCATCTATTTTTGGTAAACGTCCTTTAAGTATCCTGTTGAGTTTGGGAAATAGGAAAAAGTTACAGGGGTCATGTCCCGAGAGTAGGGTGGTTGCGTTATCACATCGCTGTTTTGTGGTATGCGCCGGTGCGTTTTCGTGATGCAAAATCCATGAGTAGTCTCTCGTGTTCTTGTCGTTTTCTCCTGATTGCCTCCCGCAAATAACGCAAAACTAGTATCCTTATTAACTACGTACGACCAGGCAGTAAAAATTCTTTCCATTGTAGTCGAAAAAACATTACGGAGGATCTTCATCTTCGATGTCTTCTTGGCCTTCCTGAAAACACTTGTACTATTGATAAACTTGTGGCTGTGATATAGTATCGTCGCCAAAGTCATTTAACATTTTAACTAGTGTTCTCGAATACTTGCTGAAAGTACTCGAATACTTTTAGTTCTCGCGTCGACTGTAGCAACTTTGTAAATAATTGTTCACAAAACTATATACAGGGCGTTTTTAAATGAAGTAGCAGAAATGGTACCACTGAATGTAGAGCCAAAAGTAAGAGGATTGAGGTAAAATAACATATGAAAGTTGCACTCCTGAGGCAATATATCCTCTTAAAGGAGGGATTGAAATTCACATTTTATTTTTTTTTTCTAGAGACACGAAACTTGGTATAAGCATCCTACTAATAAAGATACAACTTTCCAATATTTTTTCGATCATTGGCGTATTTTATAAAGGAGTGAAACAGTTAACCCCATTGCAATATTTTATTAGAAATTTCTTTTATGAAGCAAATTATTTATTTAAAAATATTTATTTGGAAAACTGATTTATTGCGCAATTTTTTTACCTCTTGTAATTTTTCCATAAAACCTATAGTTTTCTAGTAAAAAAATTAGATGCGTCATCATTCAATTGTGAAAATTTGTCAAAAAAAAGTAGGCGGATGTCATAACATAACAAATAAATTATTATTTATCATTTTAATAAATTGTCACTTTCTATCAACCAATAATTAGTACCAATTGATTAATTTATAATCAGAATATTTATGGCAAATAATATTTATACCAATGAGGAATATGTGGACATGCTCCACGTGTTTTTCGAATCCAGAAAAAATAGTAACGCTGCAGTAAGATTATACCACCAAAGATATCCAAACTGACCGATTCCTCATAGATAAACATTGGCCTCAGTGAAAAGAAGGCTTCGCGAAACGTAAAATTCAGCCCAATCGTGAGGCATAATGTCCGAACTGTTGAAACTGAGGAAGCTATACTGGAACATCCAGAACAAGACTGGTACAAGCACAAGGCAGGTGTCCAGGCAACTGCAAGTTTCTCACAGTCTTGTGTGCAAGAATTGAATGACCCTGATTTACCTAACGTGTGAATTTTTGTCAATAGTACATTAATATATCTAGGCACGACTTAAAATTTCCTGATGAATATACTTTTCACCGATGAAGCAAATTTTCCTAGAGTAGGTGCAGTATACCTTCATAATGTTCATTCATGGTGGGAAGAAAATACTCATGAAATATTTGTTTCAAGATGTCAACATAATTTCAGTTTAAACGTTTAGATGGGAATTGTAGGAAATACTCTAGTAGGTCCTTTTATTCTTCCACACAGGATTGGAGTGGCCGAGTATCTTAGATTTTTGAACGAAAATCTTCCAACATTTCTTGAGGATGTACCCCTCGCTACACGTCAGGTGATTGGTATATACACGATGGGGTGCCTGCACATAGTACATTTGCCGTTAGAGAATGTTAAATTTAAATTACATCCCTTAAATTAAATTAAATCCCTGGATTGGTCGTGATGTCCCTGTTTGTTGGCCTGCACGTTCACCTGACCTGACACCTATGGATTTCTTTTTGTGGGGGACACATAAAAAGTATTGTCTATGCCACTCCCGTTGCCTCCTTAGAAGAACTACTCTTAAGAATATTTCAGGCAGCAGATGACCTTCGCAATAACCAAGAACTGCTTGTGTGAGTGTGTTATGACTTCAACAGACGTATTAGGTTATGCTTGCAGCAAAATGGAAATTATTTCGAGAATATTCTTTAAATTTAATTTTGCATTTCTTGTTTTTTGTTTGTATTAAATTTTATTTCAGATAAATAACTTTACCTAATACATGTCCCATAGTCATAAGTTATCAAACATTTTTCATTAATTAATAGCAAACTATTCTTAATGTTATTATTAAATTACCAGCTTATTGACAGAAAGTGTCAATTTATTAATATGATAAATAACAATTTATTTGTTGTGACATCCGCCTACTTTATTTTTACAAATTTTCGCAATTACCCCTAGTGAACGATGACACATCTAATTTTTTTACTAGAAAACGATCGGTTTTATCGAAAATTTACAAGAGGTAAAAATATTTTTAAATAAATAATTTGCTTCATATAAAAAATTTCTAATAGAATATTGCAATGGGGTTGACTGTTTCACTCCTTCATAAAATAAATATTTTTACTTCAATCCTCTTATTTTTGGCTCTACATACACTGGAACCATTTTTGCTCCTTCATTTAAAAACACCCTGTATAAAACTCTTAAGTCATAACGTTCATCATTCAACGTCTTCCATCCGGTATCAGAGAATCATTCGATTCTTAAAAGTATTCGAGAACTGAGTTCTACATTCTTAAAAATACTCGATTCTGCCCATCACTAAGTCTAAACGCTTCGCTGCCCTTGATTCCGTTTTTAACACAAAATGGCAGACAAACTCTCTGATTCGAGAGTTGCGAACTAATTATTATTATTATTAGTAGATTATTCAAGTATTTTGATTTAAATTTCTAATTTTGTTTTAGGTGAAAACGTGCACGACCTAATAATTAGGAGTGTGGATTTGAGTTTATCGAAGTTAACAAGAAAGAAAACAAAAAGGAAGAAACCACCCAAGATCAATAACAAAAAACCTGTAAAGAAACCCAAGAAGAAGGCGAAAAAATGTAAAAAGGTTGCAGCTGTAAAATAACTTCATGTAAATATTTTTCATGGCCTAGAAAATAAAACTACAAGTACAACATAATAATTTAATTTACATTTGTAAAACATGAGTATGTCAACAATTAATAGAAACAATTTTAAAATCAAATAAATATTTTGATAGTACAATGATTCATAATTTCAAAAATTCATAATGGTAAGGTGAATAACAAATATGTCGATTCATTATTTACTTAAAATTTAAAGCCGGCCCAATCCTTTTGTGCACAAGATGACTGAAAGGATCGACGTTTCTAATTTTTGGCTCCAAACTGATAGAATAAACGTCGCCAGCAAGTTCATCCAAACCGATTTCTTTGTCGGTTTTACATTTTTTAGTTGCATTGTCGACGAGAGCTCTAATCTCACCATCGATTTTCTGAAAATTGTATTCAACATTGATAACTTACACAAACAATTACAACAATTTTTTAATCAGCAGCTTACAAACATGTTCAAATCAGGAAAACATTCAAACAAGAAAATTAATGACATAAACTTACTCTACTAAGCTTTGGTATGTCAAATCAGTAATTATCCTTAGTTTGAATTTATAAGCTGCTTTTACAGATATGTCGAAGGAAGGGCTGACACTTGCCCACAAATTTTGACGTTTGTAGGTCGTCAGGATCCAGGGCCATTGCGATCTCACACTAAGATATGACTATTTATGTATTTATTATTATTGTTTATTACAGTATTATAAGTTTAAAAAAAGAACTGCCTGTTTTCGAGGCACCTTAGATCTGATGATGTCGATCCTGCTGCCCCCTAACCGCAGACGGCCTAACTACCCCTAAACTGTGGGTAATGTCAACAATTAGACAGACCCTCTTGTCCTTTATATCTAAATATTAAAGAATGTAATGTCAGTTGTCAGAGATAATTTAAGTTTTCTATTAGAAAGAAATACTGGGGTGTCAATATTATAATTATCTGTTACTCAGTAATCATTGCTTGGCAGGATTCCAAAGTAATGGAGTACAGTGCAACCTCTTTAATCCAAACACCACGTTGCCAGGCGTATTATTGAATCGTTCGGATTATCGAACATACTGTAAAGATTTGTACATATCGTCCCTATTATCACGTAGAGTTGTGTGTATAGCCATTTCTTGGATTATACGCCCCTATGTGGTAAGAGGGACGATATGTATATAAATATAAATCATATAAGACACATAAAACTTTATAAGGTAAAATATAAACAAGTTACATATACATATACAGGGTGGATCATTAGTGCGAGAAAGTAAAATAACTCCCTTGTTATTCGTAACACAGAAAAAAAGTTTATATAAAAGTTGTACAGAATCAAAATACCTAAAGAACACAATTAATTTGAAACATACAGGGCGATGAGTAAAAACGGGTCACGCTAAATATTACATTTTTTAAATGGAACACCCTGTATATTTTTAAACATGGATTTCTGAGAAAATTCTGTATATGGCAATATAAACAGTTTAACGTTTTAGTGCGGCGTTGCCAAGTCATGTAGAAAATTCTTCGAATTTTGGAAAAAACATGACCTCGAAGAAGTTGTATTAACTTTCAACTGCTAATACTTGGAGCAAAAATATTTGACAGAGTTATAGGATATTAGCTAATATCGATATTTTATACAGGGGATTTTTTATAATACGATCAATTTCAAACTTGATTTTCTAAAATTTTTCAAGTGTATTTTACTGTTCTATTATTTTCACATATCAGTCCACTTCAACTTGTACTAAGAATGTTCTACACCTAAAGTTGTTAGTTTTTAAGATATAGCGACATTTCTGGAAAAACCTAATTTTTATTATTTTCGGTCGCAGGAAATGGCTTTGAAAAAAAAACTGTCACAGTGTGCCAACTTGTCAGTTCATAATTTGTCATTATATTTTGAGTTAATTTTATTAGTTAATATTTATTTGTGGTGTTCCATAAAATAATAAAAATTAAGTTTTTTCAGAAATGCTATATCTTAAAAACTAACAATTTTAGATATATAGTAGGATCATATTCGATGCAAAGTAATAAATCATTGCCTGTCAAGGGAACCAATGAAGCACGCTTTTAAGGGTTTTACAAATTCAATAATTTCTTTATACATTATGAAGGGTCGAGGGGATCAGTTCAGGTCTGGCACCCTTGTTCCTACAAAAATTCCTTTATTCTCATAAACTATTTATTTTAAATGTAATTTATTATAAATCCAATTTGTTTCTTAAATTCCACATATGTACTACATTTTACCTCTGTAGGCGCCACTGTTGTTTACTTGTTTTTTGGAAGCGCTCTCTAATTGACGGCAAAGCTCGCCAGGTTAGTATTTGACGTATAACCGACCAGTTCGTACACTCGATGCACCTGGGCGACTACAGCTACTACCAGAACACAGTGCGTATGCAGCGGTATTTCTGATTTTACATTGAATTTCATTTTAAATTTGAAATGATTTATCTTACGCCTCCTAAAAATGATGACATGATTTTCCTTTGATAAAAGACCGACAACTTTTTGCTCTACTTTGCATCGAATACGATAGAATATGTTTAATAAAAGTTGAAGAGGGCCAATATGTGAATAAAATAGAATAATAAAATATAGGGTGTTCCATTTGAAAAATTTTAGAAAATCAAGTTCAACTTCCTAAAAATAATCGTATTATAAAAAATGCCCTATATAAAATATCGATATTAGCTAAAGTAGGAGTCTTTGCCTAACATTTGCCTATAACTCTGTCAAATATTTTTGCTTCAAGTAGTAGTAGTTCTTCGAGGTCGTTTTTCCAAAATTCGAAGAATTTTCTACATAACTTGGCAACCCCGCACTAAAATGATAAACTGTTTATAGATATATAGAATATTCTCGGAAATCCATATGTTTAAAAATATACAGGGTGTTCCACTTAAAAAATGTAATATTTGGCGTGTCCCGTCTTTACTCATCACCCTGTATGTATCAAATTAATTTTGTAGTTTATGTTTCTTGATTCTGTATAACTTTTATATAAACATTTTTTCTATATTATGCGTAACTAGGGAGTTATTTTACTTTCTCACACTAATGGCCCACCTTGTATGTATTATTTTACTTTTCACATTTTTTATTTTTCTTCCAAAAAAACTCCAAAATTGTTACCCACAACACGACACGCAACAGGTTCTTCGCTATCGGCAAACAAACTGACTTTGGGCGGACAGGCGCAAACGACTGCCGACTACGCACGAAGCGATGTACGTGTGTTCGAATTAAAGAGGTTGCACTGTATTAGATTTGTAAAGTAGTCATTATATGATTATTAGTTTTTACAGCCCTTACTCAGTAATCGTTACCTGATAAGATCGAAAGTAATCGCGTACTAGACTTTTAAAATAGTCTATATGATTAGACAGGCACAAAAAAAAATGTCAAGACCCAGAGGGTAGACCCCCCTACTCCTCCGTTTTTGAGGTCGCTTAAACAGAATATGACCATAAAAAAAGGTCTGGTTCTGGGAGTTGAAATGTCAATTCTCATACAAAGTCGAGTAGGGTGAGTATTCCTGTTTTCTGGGCCACTAAGAACGAAGAAGACTACCAAACATGAATTAGACCCCCTCGTTGCCTCCCAGCGTCACTTTACCACTCCCATACACCCCTTTATGGGGGTTGAAGTGTTAATTTTCATGCAAAGTTGAGTGGGTTGTGTATGCCTACGTTTTCTTGACTTTGTATGAAAATTGCCATTCCAACCCTCATAAGGGCGTGTATGTGGGTTACAAAGGGTGCTGAAGGTTGATAAGGGGGCCTTATTCATTTTTGGTAGTCTTCTTCGTTCTTAGTGGCCCAGAAAACATAGGAATACTCACCCTACTCGACTTTGTATGAGAATTAACATTTTAACTCCCAGAAGGGGGTGGGGGTGGTAACGGGGAAATGGCTAGTTAAAAATTTTTTTATGGTCAATTTCGGTTTCAGCATCCCCAAAAACGTGGGGGTATGGGAGTCTACCCTCTGGGTCTAGGAATTTTTTTTTGTGTGCCTGTGTTATTATTTCCTCATATTCATACTATTTGAATTTGTACAATTTCTGCAACCAGTTCCTCAACTATTGCTTTCATTATTGGGTTTTTATGCTTTTAATATTTACCACAGTGCAATGGGACGATTATTATTGAATATAATTAAAAAATAAAGTATTTAAAATTATAATTAAAAAGTATCTCATTTATTAAATGGATCAACCTTTCCTTATATTTAAATAATGTTTTAAACCAGTTTGTTTCTGCTTAAAAAGTGTACATTAAAATAAAACTTGCATAAAAGTGAAAATAAAAGTAAAATTTACACCTGCCTTAGGAAATGTACAGTATTATCGGATAAAGCTACTTGTAACTGTTTATAAAGACTATTTTCTTTGATGAGTAAGGAAAGGAACATCACTCGGGTGTAAGTACTGTGCAATATCTAAAATCTAGTACACAAAATCATATGTACTGTCTCAGCTAGAATTGCCAGGTGGTCAGGAATGACCGGGACTTCCCCGAAATATATTTCTTTTCCCAGTTCCCGGTATACTCTATTTTATCCCGGAATTACGGATGTCCGGTATGCCATGTATATGACACGTGACACAGCACAGCGCTATGCAACGTTTACTTAACAGCAAGTTTGGAATCTACTGTGCCACCTCGGTATTTTCTGTGAGAGCATCAGCTAGAGCTAGTTACCTCATGGAATTAATTGTTAAATCCCGGAAATTTGTAATATTTTCCCGGGTTCAATTTTTCATAATCTGGCAACCCTAGTCTCAGTACTAGGTACATTTTGTACCGATTACCTGATACTTCGGATTTCGTCAATCAATGGGTACATTTTCACAGTAATTACAATATTGACATCACTTTAAGCAGATATAATAGAAAAATTACATTTGTTTTGGCCAATTAAGTGACAAATGCTTTAAATTTAGTATTGTCACTTAAGTTTCAGGCAGATAAAACATTCATTGGATCTTGGATGCATCATTGTAGATTTGATACAAATTAAAAATAAAATATTCTAGTGGGTTTCAAGATCTAACCTAACATTCACGGCTCATTTGATACGCAAACTTGAGCTTACTTTTGATTTGTCTTTTATTGAATTTGGGGACACATTGTATTTCAAATCTGATTGATTTGAAATGAATTATATCATACTTCAAATACTTAAAAAGAGCAGAGAGAGAGAGAGAGGGAGATAAAATATTACCTTTATTTCATCAGCGGGGACTAAGTTAGAAGAAACTATTTTTTCTTTGAATGACGTCACGGGATCTCTAGTCTGTCTTACTTCTTGAATTTCATCTCTAGTTCTGTAACTTGTACCAGGATCGGACATCGAGTGACCAGAGTATCTACAAAATTATTTATTATACAGACTGTTACAAATTCGCTTCTCACTACAGGGATCTCGAAAACAGTAAGTTATACGAAGTAGCTTAAATGGGGTCAAAGTTGCGTAATCAGGGAAGTAACGGCACTTAGAGTGTATGATAATTCAATAAACATAGAAATCTAAATAAGAAATTTAGATAAATTTGGAACGAATACACTGAAGATGAATTTTTTGAGACAAAACGTTTGAATCTGGTTCGGGCTGAGGCAGTATTGGGGGTCATGAAGGTTTGCAAAAAATGTAAAATTTCCAGGGTCGTATTTAAAAAAATGAAGTTGATGATGATCCTGGAGAAACGAAACGCTACATATAAAAATTGATTATGCCATTCGATAGAGGGCAAAAAGTGGCCATGAGAAAGTGTTTTTCTTTTTTCAATTACTACCTCAAAAAAGGCTGAAATGAAACAAAAACGGATTTCCAAAATTTCGTTTTTTTTTCAAATATTTCAAAAACTAATCATGTTAGACTTGATTTTTTCGAGGCATAATGTTGATCCCCTGATTACGCAACTTTGTCCCCATTATACTAGTTTGTATCTCTTACCATTTGTAATAGCCTGTATTTGCCAATAAATACTAATATAAATGTGCAGAATAAATATAAATGAATACAATATAGTACATTGTGTAACGAGTGGGGAAAAGTTGCCAATAGCGCCATGCGGACGCAGCGGAAAGCGCCCAAGTGGCGCTATGGCAACTTATCCGAACGAGTTGCACATACTATTTTCTATCACAAGTGCGAGTCGTTATGGGACCTATAGCATAGGGGGTTAGATGCACGGAAAGTGCTAGATAGTACAACAGCGTGATGTTATTTTCATAGCGCAATGCTGGAGCGTTGCGCTATGAAAATAACATCACGCTGTTGTACTATCTAGCACTTTCCCGTGCACCTAACCCCCTACACTATAGGTCCTATAGCGAGCTCGCGTGATAGAAAATATAAAACTACACTAAGATAATGCCAAGATGCCAGTCTGTATAGCCAAATTAAATTTACATTTTTATATACATTTTATCCTCAATGCAGTGCGAGAATTGGATTTTTTATTTGATCAAGACATGTTTGGATGTAAAAACTACATTCCTGTCATAGATATGACTATACTTTTTTTAATATAGAAATTATAAAACATTGCTAAATCACAGCACCTATCTATTATAGTCTGTTCTCGACTTTTGACAAATAAGAACCAATGGATTGATTCATTTAGTGACATTTCTTACAAATGAACGACAAACATCAAATGTGTGTTTCTGTTTACATATGATTTATTTATTTATATTATATGGATTTTGTACTTAAATTGTCAATCCGAATTTAAAAAAAAAAATTGATGTCGCTTAGAAGGGAGTGATAAAAATCAAAAGTTTTTCATCAAAGTATGTCTAGGTCAAATAAAACATGGACCTCTGCAACATTTTTTTATCTCAAAAAAAGTAACAACTGCTGCTCGAAAAAATACATTTTTAATATACAATTTCAATTTTTCAATTTCCTTATAAATTTACCTGTAGGTAGCAGCTTCAATGACAAGTGGTCCTTTACCACTGGCACAATAATCAACAGCAAATCTAAAGCATTCCCTTACTGCAAGCACATCCATACCATCAACCCAGATACCTGGGATGTAATCTCCTCTCGTGTAATACTCCGTATTTGCAGATGCTCTTTCTGCACTCGTACCCATGCCGTAGCCATTATTTTCACATACAAAAATGCAAGGAATGTTCCACAATTTAGCCATATTGTACACTTCAAACACTTGGCCTTGATTAGCCGCACCATCGCCATATAAAGCCACACAGACACCATCTGTGCCTTTATATTTAGCTGCTAGTGCTAACCCAACACCTAAAGGAACCTTAAAAATGTGTATTAATGCGTTAAAAAAACAAAAACATTTATTTGCAAAATTGTTTAAACATTGATTTTCTAAAATTATGTGGGTTGTATGATAAGTACCTGGCCTAGGTAAGAGATGGCGCTGCTAGTATTTAAACAGGGATATTTTTCGTAAGCTTTCACAACGATACTGACAAACTGTCAAGTCGCTGCGTGGTTTAGTTTGTGAATGCCAGACATTTAAATAAAACAACTGTTGTATTTTTACAACAATGGAAAAAACTGAATATCGAGTGGTTATCATAATATACTTGTTTTTAAAAAATAAAACAAATCATGAGATTAAAACGGAGCTCAGCGAATTGTATGGGGACCTGCACCTTTGTTATCAACCATAAAATATTGGACAGCTCAATTCGTACGTGGCTGTATAAGCATTTTTGATGAACATCATCCAAGTCGTCTAAATGAGGTTACCATTTCAGAAATGATCGAAAAAATCCACAATGTCGTGATAAACGATCAAAAGAATGTTTGGTGATGTTAAGACGCAATCAGAATGTTTTTGGCAACGGTCATAACTGTTGTCGAAACATGGATTCATCACAGCACACCAAAGACCAAGAAAAGTACAGTGTTTTCCAAGACTTTATCAACGAACAATCATGGCTACAGTGTTCTGGGATTATGCGACATAATTTATGTCGATTACTTTGAAAATGTCAGAATGATTAATGGAGAGTATTATGACAACTTATTGGACCGTTTCAACCATGCACACGTGCACACTTACGTTGTTGCCATGGCAAAATTCCATGAGTTAGGAAACGAATTGCTTTCGCATCCACCATATTCGCCGGTTTTAGCACCCAGCGATTATTTCCTATTTCCAAATATGGCAAAATGGCTCGTAAGAAAAAAATTTGGCTATAATGATGAGGTTATTGTTGAAACAAACACTTATTTTGAAGAGTTGGAGCAATCATATTTTTTAGAGGTGATAAAAAACACAGAAAAGCATTGGATATTGAAAAATAAAATAAATTTTACACATACGTGTTTTTTTTTTTGTCAAAGCCAGGTACTTATTATACAATTCTCATTCATTCTTGGTGTTTCTGTAATAGTTTTTTAAATACAAATGCATAACTTTTTCCAAGTTATTAGTTCAGATCAATATGCCAGAGGTGGTACAATCAACCAACGATCTAGAAATTTTTGGTTATAATAACAATCATGGAGTGAGTATAGGTAAGATACAATAATAATGCTATATTTATGAATCAATTATACTAGGCCTTCAAATAGTCGAACTAGCAGAGAGTAACCTGCTATTTTGCAGATATTATGAAAGCAAGACCTGTGTCCCTACCAGGCAAAACAATATTTTACTAATGAATTCAAAACCGGTATATGTCTGGTGGTTCAGCTGACGAACTATACTATTTACTAGCTATTCTGGATATAATTCAATGATGGTCAGGGCATTACTCCACATAGCTTTTTCCTGCAATATTATCAATTTAAAAATTGTTTTTCGTAGTAACGACACAGGCTTTGCTTTCATAGGACCTGCCAAATAGCAGTTTGCTTTGTACTAGTTTGGGCATTTGAATGCCTAGGCATTGAGTAGCAGTGATTATTCATACATGTACAATTGTTACATCTCACCTATATTCATTCCATATCTGTAGTTAAAACACCAAAAATGACTGTGCCAGTTTTACTATTTAAAGGCCTAGGCATTTAGTAGTGACAGTAACATTGTTACCTATACACCACATAACAATTTTGGGGAAAAAAAACAATTTTAATTTTATTTTCAGTTCTTATCAAAACTACGATTCTTCAAAGGTGGGACATGAAATAGAGTTTTTGATAAATAATTAACGAATCATTCAAGATATAAAGTCTAAATTCAGAGACTTCTCTAAATCTTAATTTCGTTTGATACTTAGAAATGTGGACAATAGATAAGTCACTAACTTGAGTACACATTAAACACAAGGCAAACTATAACTTAGTAACCTTAATAAATTGCTTGCAGTTTTGTTAATGTTACAGTTTAATGAAATATATACGGAAGATGTCAAAATCGGCCTTACTAATTTCACAGATATTTTATTTTATGCAGAGGATTATTGCTGCCCAATTAAAATTCATTACAATAAGTAACGAAACGAGTCAAAATGGGTAAGACATGAGGTTACACTATCCAGCCAGCACCTAAAAAATATGTATTGGTTCTGGATAAGATTTCTATAAACAAACTAAGAAAAATAAACTAAATTGATCTTTCATAATACAGTCATAGCTGCATCAAATAATAAATATAAAACTATATGGAATTTTGTAGACAGGCAGAGAAAAGAATAAAATAAAGAATATCACTGAACGTAGATGGCAACCTTTGCTCAAATTCTAATCAGCTACCCAATGTATTTGTTGATTATTTTACAGCAGTTACAGAAAAAACATTGCAGTCATTTTGGCGATTGTAGATCTACTAATTGCACAAGTTGCCAATATGGCTTTCGAACAGGTAAATCTAGTCAACCGCATACAATTTTAGTGAACAAATTTATAAAATTAATGAATGAAGATGGATACATGTTACTGGAATTTTCTGATTTAACATGTGCATGTGATTGTCTAAATATTTTATACATTGAATAATATAAAGTATAGTTGAATAGTATAATATAGGATTTAGAGGGATATTATTAGACTGGCTGATCCACAATCTCACTGATACTTTGAACTGAAATATTGACTTAGAAGTGCCTCAGGGATATGTATTGGATCAACTAAAGTTTTTGCTATATATTAACGATATGCTAAACTATTTTAATTCTTCTGCATTAACACTGTTTGCTGAAGAACTACTACTACTACACTACCTCTGAAGAATTCACTGCTAATTATGAAAATGTTATTACTCGTTTTGAAAAATAGTGTGAATTCAATAATTCATTAACATTAAAATACTCTACACAGAATAGCGATTAACAGCGTTCCAAAACAAAAAACTACAAAATCTCATGTCTGCTATGTATCAGGGCATTAAACTTTATTATAATAAACTACCACTTAATTATACATCTAAAGATAAGGAAGGAAATATTTAAAAGATCAATTAAAGAAATGCTACTTATCAAATGTTATTATGGCATTGATAAATATTTGAATGATAATTTGTTCTTAGAGATACGATTATAAATACTAGGCTTTTGTTGTCCTTGTACATTGACCTGTCCTTTACGTCTCTACTATCATTACTAAAATATGTTAACAGTCAAAATACAAGGAATACAAATTATAGTCTGATGTTTAGTTAAAATAACTTAATACGATGTTAAAATAACTGATAAATCATATTAGAAAATAAAAAAATTATATCTTTATTTTGAAAAAGGAGAAAGTTTGGCTCGACAATTTAATTCTGAATAACCAAGATGTTTTCTGGTGATTTCAGCATATTACAGAATATTTAAAATATATTTAAACAAGGTCGACCTGCAAAATCATAACTTTTCGCAATGCTGTTTAATTTTTTAAACTCATGGTCTTTTCCACATTTTAAATATATTTACCATAAATATTGCACAAGCAAATATACTTAGTCACGAAATGTGAAAATTTAAAATGTAAAAACTATAAGTAGTCCAATTAACTAAGCCTTTAAATCGAAATTTTGCCAACTTGGCTGAATTTTTGATATGAGTTAGTTTAAGGTATATTATAACAATAAGTGAGAGTAATTTTTTGTTCAACCCCCGGCCAAGGGTGGAAAAAGATAAAACAAAGGGCTTTTTCAAGATAACTCAAAAAGGGTAAGAGCTAGAAAAAAAAGTTTTTCATGAAAGTTGTAAAGCAGACAATTCTACATAAAAATGGCCTCTTAACTTTTTCTTGTACTATTACAATTAACAGAGTTAGGGAGGCTAGAAGTTAAGGGAAGATTTCAGAAATTTAAAAAAAATCATAACAAACAGAAAAATGATTGAATTTTGTAATTTTTTTTTTCAATCTGCTCTAAAATATGTAACTTTTCTTTTCAGAGAAATAGATATATTTTTTAATTTTTAATAAGAAAGTTATAACAAAAAATCAAATTTTTAATCGTTAATTTTAATGATTTAACAAAATTAAATTTCTGAAATCTTCCCTTAACTTCTAGCCTCCCTAACTCTGTTAATTTTAATAGTACAAGAAAAAGCTAAGAGACCATTTTTATGTAGAATTGTCTGCTTTACAACTTTCATGAAGCTCTTACCCTTTTTGAGTTATCTTGAAAAAGCCCTTTGTTTTATCTTTTTCCACCCTTGGCCGGGGGTTGAACAAAAAATTACTCTCACTTTTTGTTATAATATACCTTAAACTAACTCATATCAAAAATTCAGCCAAGTTGACAAAATTTCGATTTAAAGGCTTAGTTAATTGGACTAAAGGGATAGCAGTTGGGGACGCCCGGTATACAGAGGCCAATAGAGCCTTTGATGAATTGAACGTTGAGGCATCAGTTTCTTTAGGAATATATATAGTTTACATTTATGATGTAGAAGTTAGTCAGCCATATAGTTCGTTCTCGAGTCTCAAGTACTCTACATGTCTATGCATTATTACTCTCTCACAATATACTGTCTTACATTTCACCTGGGTAGTTTTTGTTTTCTTGTTTGAAAGAGTTTACAATTCAGGTGTGCTTAATTAAGTCTTGCGCAAATTCGTATTTATATGAATAAAAGGTAGTCCGATGAATCTTTCCATAATTATATATTTCTAATTGCTTTGTTTTGAATAAAAATAGACTTTTGTTTCCAGTATGATTAATTCATGCTATATTATATTTCTATTAATGTTATAATCAAAATATTCTACAATGTATTTGATGCAATTTATGTTCATTTGCACCGATATTAAACCACCGGTGTATTTTTCTAAAGGCGTAAGGGGCAATTGCCCGGAGTGGCTTGTTTTTTAGAATCAAATCAAAATGTGCTCAAATTTTATATCCGTAAGTCGCTGATTGGGAGCTTTTTTTTTAGAGGCCTTCATGGAGCTTGCAGCCCTGGTCCTTCCCCAAGCGAAAATTGTAGCTACGCCCATGTGAGTGTGTTTTCTTGGTTTTAATTTAGGCTACTTTATTATTACTCTTTACTGCATTAAATTGCATAAAATACAGAGTAAAATATTTTGACTGATGGTAAATTAACCATTTACCTGAGCACCAACAATTCCATTTCCACCATAGAAGTGATCAGTGTACATGTGCATAGAGCCTCCTTTACCTCTGGCACAGCCACTTTGTTTACCACAAAGTTCACCTAAGACGCCCAAGGGTGAAACCCCCATTATATGTGTCCATCCATGGGCACGGTAAGCTGTGATTACATCATCATAAGGGCGTAAGGCGGCTTTGATACCAACTGCAATAGCTTCCTAATCACAAATTTATTAAATTACTCTAAAAACTCAATGTACATTAAGGAACTAATGTGTAAATAATGTTTCAGCATAAGCTAATAATTCCCTTAGAAATCAACGTCGTATTTACCTGCCCTGAGTAAAGGTGACAAAAACCTCGCACTATTTTATCTTTGTACAAATTTCCAGCAGTTGTTTCCATTCGACGAATTGTATGTAATTGTGTGTAATACTTAACAGCATCCTCTTTTGTTAAAGAAACAGTGGTTGAAGGTGACTGCTCCAATCGATGTAAACGATATGGCTAAAATTTGAGTATATTAATATAAGTTAATAGAAAAACATATTTACATACTTTTGTCTCAAATGTTGCTTCAGTTGCATAACCGTTTTTAGGAATAAGTCCTAAAGCTTTCTGAAAATTAAACATTTATTTAACAATGGTAACATTTAAAGAACAATAATTATTACATTAATGAAGTTAGCGAAATTTTTTGCCATCATTTATTCTAAAATATCTTCTGGTAAATGACATCAAAATAACCTTGTGCTTTCATTCCCTTACATATCTAAAGTGTTCTAAGATTATTTACTCACGTTGGGTCTAAAATATTTGCTACAAACGGATCTAGCACAAATGGGAAGCATTTTATATAATCAGATGGTGATATATAATATATTTTTAGAATAAATATAAATGTAACATAAATTGCACTTAAATGACCTATTCCTCAATCACAGTAACCACAACCACACACAATCATAGACATAGATTAGGTAGAGTTCACATCACACAATGACAAAATCAGTCAATCCACTCATCTCAACACTCCATCACTGTTAGTTGTTACAGTGTTACACCCTCAGACTAATAAATTATTACTCTGAGGTTCAGTTCAGTGCGAACAGCCGAGCTGAGTGGACGTGTTTGTTTGTGAGGTGAAGTGATTGCAACGAGCAAAATCTACCTGCCTTTATTAAGGCTACCTGGAAAGAATCCCTTTCTTTCCTTTTAATCACCGACCTAATCCCCGGCTAAGCATAGAGGCCGTCGGCATCTTTGTTCAGGTACCTGTCCCGGGGTTATGCCCAGGTAAGTTTTAACTTATTTATCAGTTATTTGCATTACTTTAAAATACATTTCTTTAAAATTGCGACCCCCGACAAACAATATACCAGACAGACAAATACACCAAAAGACACGTACGCCCCCGT